CTCTGTCTCTCCTGTGGGCTCCGAGGGGTCTGTTTCACTCACTCTGACATTCCACACCCCTAAAGGACACTGGCACACAAATGTCATTCCAGCAACTGAAGAGAAAATTTACTTACTGTTTTTGTTTCTCATCTGGGAGTGATTTTTTTTTTCTTACAATGCAGATGGAACCCCCCAGGGCTTTGTGCTAGGCAGGGTCTCAATACATAGCCCAGACTGGCCTTAAACTCATCCTACCTCAGCCTCTCAAGACTGGGATTACAGGTATGCTCCACCATGCCCAGCTCACACATGTAACTTTCAATTATTGAAAATTTTTTATTAATTTATTTTACATGTATAAGCATATTGCCTGCATGTGTGTATGTGCACCTGTGTCATACAGTGCCCATGGAGGCCAGAATAGAATGGGAATCGAACCTGGGTCCTCTCCAAGAACAGCCAGTGCTCTAACCGCTGAGCCATCTCTCCAGCCTCACTTTTAGTTGTTTAAAAAAGAAGAGCTGGAATGGTGGTTCACACCTGTAATCCTGGAGCTTAGGAGGCCAAGGCAAGAGGGTGGAAATTTGAAGGCTACAGAGTGAGACCCTGTATCAAAACTAACAAATCATGCTGGGCGTGGTGGCGCACACCTTTAATCCCAGTGCTTGGGAGGCAGAGGTAGGTGGAGCTCTGAGTTCAAGGCTAGCCTGATCTACATAGTGAGTACCAGGACAGCTGGGGCTACAGGGAGACCCCATGTCAAAAAGATAAAACAAAACAAAACCAAAAAAAACCTAACAAAAACAGTTGAAGCAGATGCTGTTAACTGATTGTATTTAATTTTGAACACCACAGTCTAGCATGTTTGCATGTAACAGCAAAAACGCACACAGATGTTCTTGTGCTTTCAAGTGATATCTCCGGTCTCATGTGCACGTCACACCTTCAGAGAACCCTGTTTGCACCCAGTCCTGCTCATGTGTGTGAGAGCCATGTGCAGGAAGCCTGGTGGTGCTGCCCCAGAGCATGCCTACTGCACTGCAGGTCAGAGACTGTCACTGATGGACGTAGACATCCATCTCCCCTGTGGCCAGCTGTCTCCGTGCCCCTCACTCCTGTTTTCTGTCTCTGTTCCTGTCCCATCTTAGGGACTGTTCCCCAAGCTTCTCTCCTTCTTCCACCACCCCCGCTTTCTCCATCTCCATCTCACAGGGATGGGAATATGCTCTGAACCACTGCTAGGAAGAAGTTAGGGAAGGAGAAGCTCCTGCCACAGGACAGAGTGGTCATTGGGAGAGCCTGTCTTCCCAGACTCCCAGGTGTCTGAAGACCAGCGTGAGGCCTGCACCCTGTCCTCAGGAGGCTCTCAAGATGGGAGAGTCACAGTAGACACCATTGTGTGGGGAGCAGAGGGCTGCTGGCTAGGGGATGATGGCCATCTCATTCATCCTTGCCTGCACCAGCAGAGGGCGTGCAGCCACCAGGAACTACGTCAAGGGCAGGGCCAACACTGGCGACTTGGAGGAGAGAGGACACATGCAGGAGATGGAGACCTAGAAAGCCTGGCAGAGGCAGGGTTAGCAGAGGAGGAGAGAAGGTGCAGGAGCAGTCAGTCACTGGGGGGGGAGAGGGCACAGAGGCAGAGACGGGAGGAACAGGAGACAGGCTGGACTTGGGAGAGACTGGAAGAGAGGTCCAGAGAGGAGAGGAGGCAGGAAGCAAAGGAGGGAGGAGAGACCCCAGGAAGGGACTGTGGGCCAGTGTCCTCACTCGACTGCAGAGTCCTCATTTGTAACACAGGAGGACGGAGAGAAACAGACCTGCTGAAGCCGCCTCCCCTAGCTAATTTGGTCCCCAGCGTTCATCTAAGGGAACACAGGAGGCCAAGCCAAGGGAGCCAGGAGAGTCTTGGAAGGGTTACCGGGTGAGGGTTTAGCAGGTGAGAAAGAGGACTCTGGATGTGGCTTGGGTAGCACTTACTAGGTGCATCTGCTGCATGCAGGCAGCATGGGTATAGCCAGAGGCCAAGAGACCCTGGGAGATAGACAAACAGGCACACACACACACACACACACGCACGCACACACGCACACTCACGTTCTTCACATATACAGAGCTACTCTCCCACTGCTGGCGAATTGATTGATCCATCCCACATTTTGCTGGCACAAAGACAAATTCCACAGCCATGCTGCAGTGCTGCCGGCCCAGGGGAGTTGAGAGGTGGCCCAGCTCCTCACCAGTCCCCTGTTGCCCCCTGCCTGAATTGCCCCATCTCTCCCAACTGGCATCCTGACCCTGGCCCAGGGCTCCTCCAGCTCAGATGACACCATCCTGGAGTGTGGGGAGGAGAGACTTGGTCCCTGGGGCAGCTGGAAGAGCAGAGTTGCTGTGAGCAGGATCGATGCAGACTGCCCCTGCCGTATTGGATTGTTCCTGGCTCCTGGGCCTTTCATTCTGGCTTCTCCCAGAATCTTCTTCCTTGCTTTCCCTATGCCTGGTCTCTGCCCCCAGCCTGAAGGCTGGAGAAGGGCAGAGGTGAGGGGCATCTTAGAGCTTTCTGTTGGCCCCCAGCCAACTGGACACATACTGAGAGATGGGACCCACATTAGGGCAGTGACCCAAAGACCTCATGTGGTCATCCTGCAGGAAGCTTCCCGCTGTCCCTCACCCATCCCAGCCCCAGTAGCTCCAAAAGGATTCTCTGCCCTCAGCAGAGCCCAGTGTCCCCCTCACAGGCCTCCTTGTCCACAGTGTACCTTTGGGAGCAGCCTGAGGAGGAAGGCACAAGGCCACTGCTCAGCCTGGAGGAGCAGATCCTCAACTCCACCTTTGAAGCCTGTGACCCCCACAGGACAGGTAGGCCCCTTAGGAGCCCGTAGGAGCATAAGGGATGACATGGGTAGGGGACAGAGGCATTCTGGGATGGGAGAATGGGGTCTGTGCTGTGCTTGGGGGCCTGGGAGGGAGGGAAGCAGCCTCTGGCCTGTACAGCAGTGGATTCCGCCCCACCTCACCCTTTTGGTCCACTCTGAGATGGGCTAGAAAATTTGACTCAGAGGAGGGATTGCCCCAGGGGCCTCTGCACACTGTGGAGCAGGGGTGCCACCAACTCACCTCACTAGTGAGACACCTGTCCCCAAGCCACAGCCTCCCTGCTGGTCATTGCCCACTCCAGTCCTCACAGTGCTCTGTCCCAGGTACTGTGGCTGTGGCCCACCTGCTGGCCTACCTGGAAGCCGTGACAGGCCAAGGCCCCCAGGACACACGCCTCCAAACACTGGCCCGAAGATTGGACCCATACGGGCAGGGCCCAGGGGCCACTGTGGACTTGGACACCTTCCTGGTGGTCATGCGGGACTGGATTGTTGCCTGTCAGCTGCCTGGGTGAGTCCCTGCATCTCCAGCCTCCTCCATAGAAAGTCCTTCCTAAAGTCTAACCTCACATCTAACCTCCCACCTGCTCACTACAGCAGCACCTGCTAGGCCCAGGGACCCATGTGCTTGGCAAGGGGTTGAGGAATGAAGAGATGCAGGAGAGAGGACCAAGTGCTGTGGATGATGGCACGGGGGTGTGGGAGGCAGATATGGAAGGGGCTAGCGATGGGAAGGGCCTCCCTGCCCTGCCATCAAGCCAGGGACTGGCCATCTGGCCTCACCTTGCTCCCACAGGGCCACTCTCGCCTACCTGCCCTCCCCTGTGCCACGCAGGCCTTGCAGGGACAGGTCAGTCATGGAGTGGCTGCCCGGCCCTGAGCCTCATGCCTTTGATGCAGGGGATTAGAGCGGGTGGAGGAGACCGCCTTCGAGGGAGCCCTGGCCTCCCCGCACCTGCCATCTGGTAAGACTGCTATTTATAGAAGAGGTGGGTGGCTAGGGTCAACTGGGGGAGGCTTTCTCATCTTCCCACTCCACACAGCGAGGGCTGCGGGCTTTTCCTCCAGCCTGGAACTGTGGGTGGCAGCTGGGTGCCTCTGGATAGTCCCTCATCCTTCCCGGACTTTGGGGTCAGGTTTTCCATCCCCTCCTCCTAGCTCCAGCCCTGGTGTAGAGGGTGAGGAGGCTGCAGCCTACTTGAGCTCCTGCCAGAGAAGCCTTGCTAGTCCCGGACTGGGAAAAGGCCTGCCTTCAAGGGGTCCTTGGGGCATTCAGCCTGCACACTCTCACGCCCATCATGCTAGGCACAGGGCAGCCGTGCCCTGCCAGGCTCCTACTCCAGCGCTGCCCATCCTTGTGCCTCGCACCTGCTCACTTTCCCCAGAGAGCTGGCACGTGTCGTTACCCCAGTTCTGTGCTGGGGTGCTGGGTACTCAGGGCCTCACCCTTCCAAGGTGCACTACTAGAAAGTAGAACCCAAACCCAAACTACAGCTTTCTTGGCATTCTTTTGAAACTCAAGCCTTCATCCATCTTGGGGCCTGGGGAGGGTTGTGAGTGATGAAGGGGTCGCCAGCTCTGGGTCAAGTGGGGAAGGACAGGGGAGAGACAGGAGGCTGAGGCGGAAGGGAGGTGGAGGAGGGCCCAGGAGACAGCAAGGCAGTGTGCGGACATGGATGCGGCAGAGAGTCATAGTCATGGCTGACCTCTGACAGATGACAGACTGCTAGTGACATGGCAGCCCTGAGGCTATGGGATGACAGGGAACAGGAGAGGAAAGGGCTTGGGAAGTGGAAGTGCTGCTTGTGACTGATCTGGGGACCAGCCTGAGCTCCAGGTGGAGATGAACAAGCTGCCCATGATGAGTCCCAGCAGCCTGGGAACCGAAGAGCTGCCTGGTGAAGAAGAGGAAGGCCAATGTTTGACGTCACCAGGGAGTTCAGCCCCTTGTCCATCTCCCTCCAGCGTGCCCAGAAGCTGAAGAGCCGGCGAACCTGGAGAGCTTTGGAGGCGAAGACCCCAGGCCTGAGGGGTGCCTGTTCTCCCCACCCTGATCATACCGTTTCTCCAGCCTACTTGGGGTCTAGGGAGGGCCTGGAGTTGTTCGGGAGGTGGGCGAGGGTGAGGGTGAGGGCAACTGAGGACAAGAGTGAAGGTTGGCCTGGCTAATGGCTCTTGTAAACAGGCGCAGCCTCACTCATGTTGGTCAGCAGGGATCCCTGAGCCTGGCCACCAGCACCTGCACAGCCCCAACAAAGCAGGGGCCCTGTCGGTGACCAGCCCTTGCCGCCCCCAGGCCTGCCACAGCTGAGCTGCTCAGCAGCCTGGAGGACCTGGAGCTCAGCAACCGGCGCCTGGCCGGGGAGAACGCCAAGCTGCAGCGCAGTGTGGAGACAGCCGAGGAGAGCTCTGCACGCCTTGGGGAGGAGATCGCAGCCCTGCGCAAGCAGCTTCGAGGGTGGGTGCCTAGGCCTCCCTCGCTGACCGCACCCAGCGCCACCAGGGACCCAAGGCCTTGCTGTACTGGCAGGCACACCACTGCCTGGGTCTTGTCTCCTGGCCTTTCGGGTTGCTGGCTCTGTCCTCTGCCCTCTCTGACTCTAATGGGCCTTGTTCTTGCTTTGCTGTGTGGCCCTGTATATGACCTGGGCCCTGTGTGTGTGTCATGACTGTCCCCCAGTTCCGACCCTGCCCAGGCCTCCAGTCCCCTTCCTCGGGTCACAAGTGAACCCAGTCTCTACTCTGGGCCGCCCTGCCCTTTTACTTCTGTCCTGCCCCCTTGACCTGCTTTGTCTTTGACACCAGTCTCCTATCATCCTCTGAGCCTTTTCTCCTATGCCTTTGCCACCCCTCAGCACCCAGCAGGCCCTGCAGGTGGCCAAGGCCATGGATGAGGAACTAGAGGACCTGAAGACTCTGGCAAAGAGCCTGGAAGAACAGAACCGCAGTCTACTGGCTCAGGCCCGGCAAACGGTGGGTGCTGGGGGGGTGGCAGAGGTCGCCTGGCTTCCATGGCCTGCTGCCCCCATGACAAGGGGCTGGTAGCAGCCCTCCGGAGTCCTGCCCTTTAGTGACCCCGCCCCGACTGCATTCCTGGATCGGGGAAGAGTGACAGGCAGGAGCTGGAACCGATGCCCTGTCCTCTCGGGGTGGACTAGGAGAAGGAACAGCAGCACCTGGTGGCTGAGGTGGAGACGCTGCAGGAGGAGGTGAGCTGAGGCCCTCCCACCCCCCAGGGTTCCTGGCCCTGCCCTGCAGCCCAAGTCCCTGTGCCTATAACCCAGAAGCTTCAGCCTGCAGGGGACCCCAGTATCCCACAGGGCATGACTGTCCCTGGGTTAACCTGGGCAGTTTTCCCAGTCTGTGCCTCCGTGCCTCCTCAGTCCTGCCACCTCCATGACAAGGGGCTGGTAGCAGCCCTCCCGAACCCTGCCCTTTAGTGACCCCGGCCCCGACTGCATTCCTGGGTCCGGGAGAGCAAACCAGTGGCCTGCCTTGTGGGGCTCTGTGAGTTTTAAACCAGAAGACGCTTGGAAAGCCCGGGACCGGAGGTAGGACATTCCGGGTGTGCACACTAAAACTAGCAAACCAGCATAACATCTCAGCCCACGCCAGCCATCCTGGTACTTGGGAGGCTAAAGCAGTGAGCATACAGCTAAGCTGGGCTCTAGAGCAAGGCTGTCCCAAGAAGCAGAACTGAGTGAGCTCCAGCATTCTCCATGTGAGCGTGCTGAGCACAGCCTCGGGTTTGATCTCTAGCATTGTAGACAAAGCTGAAAAACCTTTTTAAACAATTTTTTTCCTTTTTTTTTTCAGACAGGTTCTCCCTGTAGCCCCACCTGGCTTGGATCTGGCTAAATAGACCAGGTCTCCATCTCACAGAGATCTGCCTGCCTCTACCTATATTTAAAAAAATTGTTTAAGCCGGGTATGGTGGCACATGCCTTTAATCCCAGCACTCAGGAGGCAGAGGCAAGTGGATCTCTGAGTTCAGGGCCAGCCTTGTCTACATAGTGAGTTCCAGGCCAACTGGGGCTACAGGGAGACCCTGTCTCAAAAAGACCAAAAAAAAAAAATGTTTAAGCCAGATGCAGTGGTGCATGCCTTTAATCCAACTGCTCAGAAAGCAGAGGCAGGTGGATCTCTGTGAGACTGAGACCGGCCTGGTCTATTTAACCAGTTCTAGGCCAAGTGGGGCTATAGGGAGACCCTGTCACACACACACAAAATAATTAAACATGGGCTTTGATGTCACAGCACACGTGTGACAGACCACCAAGTGTGTGACTTCTCTTTTTTAGAAACATTTTTAATTTTTATGTATATGACAGTTTGCTTGCATGTAATGTTGCATGTGTGCATGTGCAGTGCCTGCAGAGGCCAGAAAAGGAGCTGGAGCTACAGGTGGTTGTTAGCTACCATGTAGGTGCTGGGACCCCAGGTCCTCGGCAAGGGCAGCCAGTGCTCTGAACCGCTGAGCCCCGCTCCAGCCCCAGATGTCTCCGTGCCGAGTGGTAGCCTTTGCTTATGCCTTTTCCATTTTGGTGGTGTGGGGTGCAGCCTAAAGCTTGGCCTGCTGGGAAAGTGTTCCATCAAGACCTTGCTTTTCTTCAGGAGCCCCAGGACTGCCTGAGCTGTGGGTTTGTGGCGAGGGTGAAGTGATACCATTCAGCCCAGGTGGCCCAATGCTGGGAACTTCCACCTCAGGCTGTTTAAGCTCCCTTTGCCCTCTGGGTCTCCTGGGTAACAATGGACCGCATCAGACGTGGAATCCTGTCCCCACTGGCCCTCCCCAAGGTTGAACAGCTCAGTGGCAGGAGATCTGGCCAGTAGAGGTCCTGGGCCCAGGCAACATCAGTCCTCCCATGTCACCTGTCCTCTGCTGTCCCCACGATGGACAGTCTGCTCCATCTGCTCCTTGGCCATCCATGGGGAGGCCCAGATTGCCTTCAGCTTTGGGCTGGGCCCTTGCTGCCCATCCTGGTGGCCCCCTCCCTGCCTCGGCTGTGGCGCTCAGCTTCTAAGAGCTGCACAGAGGTCTTGTCTGCTTTCCTGGCTGCGCCTGCTTGGCTGCCTCTGTTTGCACACAGCCGTTTAGCCTGATGGTGCTGCCCTACAAAAGTTCTGGGTGAGCTGGGAGGGATGTTCACCAGAATCCCAGGTGCCCTGTGGTTCCAAGGTCTCCCCATCTGTCCCCCAGGACCCTGCCAGCTAAGGTTCAGGGCCTCTGGGTCATTCTCTGACTCTTTGGCCCTAGCTCACGGCTCTCTGTCGTGGCACCAAACTCATTTCCTGAGCCCCAGCCCTGTGTCTACACTGACTTTTCACTGAATCCTAGTTCTCCACTGTTCTGTGAGAGCACCTGTTAAGGAGACGTTGGCAGGCCCCTCCTCACAACTCACAGGCATCCAGTCAGGATGGCCGCCCTGCTCCCTGACTGGCAGCTGGAACATACCAGCGGCAAGGGTGGGTACTCATGGCTAGTTCTGGCAGAGCTGGTCCTTGGTCTCTGGGTTGTTCAGTGGCTCAGTGACTTTTTTTTTCCCCCTTGGGGGAAGTTTTTGAGGATGGAATCCCAACCCTTTGCATATGCTAGGCAAGCAGTGCCAAGCCACGCCCCCATCCTGGGTTTTTGGAGACAGGGTCTCACTATGTAGCCCAGGCTGGCCTTGAACTCCTGGGGATCCTCCTGTCTCAGCTCACCAAGTGCTGGGATTGTAGGCAAGCTCCTCCCTGGCCCCTCACTAGCTTTTTTCCTGTGACCTCAGTCACAGATGGCTCAAGATAGGTAGGGAGGTGCCAGCACACATGCCCCTTCCCCATCAAGCTCTCCTAGTCAGGAGGCCAGGTTTTCTCAGAAGCCCTCTGAGAACCCCCCTCTGTCCTATAACAGGCCTGGAGAGGGTCCCCCAACACCTCCATCTGTAAGGAAGTTTTGGCAGCCAGGTTTCCTTGTCCTGACCATGGCTGGGCAGGGACACCTCCCTCAGACAGCAGGAATGGACCCTGAGAATGGCCACGGGCACCCCTGCTTCCCACCGGGGTATCCCCACCTCCTGCCCAAGCCCAGGACCCTACAGCGGGACTTCCCAGGCTTCATGGCTGGAGCCCCTCTCGGCTCCCTGTGTCCTGCCACAGCTGCCCACAGATGTAGAAGCTGAGATCTCGGGTTCCAGCAGGGCCTTCTGCAGTAAGGAGACACTCAGCCTGCAAAGGTCTGGCCCCTGGCCCAGCCCCAAGGACAGGAGGTTGTGAGGCGCTCAGCTGGCCTGTGGGTCCCAGCAGGTGGATAGGTGCTGACACAGCACTGTGACCACCCTTCCTCTGCCCTTCACCCCGCAGCCCAGGCCGGGCAGCCACTGCCAAGACAAGTGTGCTGAGAAGCACCTGGAGCAGCAGGGCTACCTGGAGGAGGGGCTTCGGGAAGAGCTGCCTCCTGCCTCCCAGGGCTCAGGCTTTGGAGGGAGGGGGGTATGGAAACCTGAGCTTTGAACTGGTTTGTTCTTTTCATTTTGGGTTTTGAGGCAGGGTTTTGCTATGTAGCCCAGGCTGGCCTGGTACTCAAAGCAGTCTTCCTGCCTCAGGCTCTTGTAGTGCTGTGATGACAGGCAGGCTCCACCACACACAGCTTGGGGCCATAGTCTTCTTAGGTCCCATTGGGCCACTGGTGTGGCTGCCCTTCTCCCAGCCTCCCTGTGTACCCCTGGAAGGCTCAGTGGGAGTGCCACTTCCTCACCAAGCCCCTGCAGCAACTCAGGCTTAGCACTACCTGCTCCTTCATGGTCTCCATTTCTGGCCCCTGAGCACCTCATGACCAAGGCATCACTGCTTCCCACAGTCCCTCTTCTCACCCAGGTGGGGTTGTGTCTGGCCCCCAGGAGAGGCCAGACACACATCACACAGATGAGGGGTGACCTTGCCAAGTCACTTGGCCTCTACTCAGTTTTCCCTGTACAGCTGTTAATGGTGAGACACCGAAGGCGTTCCTAGGCAGTACAGTGTGATGCAGACCACACCACCCCTGAAGCTATTTTACCGGAACACTGAATGAGAGACTGGCCAAGGCCCTGGGCCTACACTCCTGATTATAGGAAGGGAGGAAGGCAGAGATTACCATCACCTCAAGGATGCAGGTCCAGGGCAGTGACTCTTGCTCGGCGTCCAGTACAGACACAAGATCTAAAGAGTACTGGGAGGGGGAAGTTAGTGAGATGGGAAGATGTGGCCTTTCCCAGCATGGCAGTGGCAAGCTTGTTTTCCAAAGACTTTTGCAGGCCAAGCAGAGCCTCCATATGCTGACGAGTGGATGACGAGAAGGGCTGTGGTTCATTGCTGACTCTGGAATTGTGGTTTTTCTAAAGGAAATAAGTCTTCATGGGTAGATAAATGCTGGAATTACTCCAAGGGAAATAATGACCCCTGAGATTTGCCCTAAAAGAGCCCAGTTAGACAAGAAAGCAAAAGACGTGGAGAAAAGAAACAAAAATGTAGTAATTAGGCTAGGTGTTCTGGCACATACCTTTAATCCCAGCACTCAGGAGGCAGAGGCCAGGCAGAGATCAAGGCCAGCCTGGTCTACATAGCAGCTGAGGCTACAGGGAGACCCTGTCTCAAACAGCAACAAAGACAGATGATGATGGTGATGATGATGGTGGTGATGATTAGAGGCTTAGCAATGTTATACATGAAGACTAGCCAAGGTGGCCCATACCTGCTGAGACAGGAGTTCAGGACCAGCCCAAGACACATGTTGAGGCCCTGTGTGCATGTGTATCTGTGTGTGTGTATCTGTCTGTCTGTATATCTTTCTGTATGTGTGTGTATATATCTATGTGTATGTCTGCATGTTTGTGTGTATGGGTACTGGGTTTGTTACATTGTTCTTTTTACTTTTGTGTGTTAGGAAACATATACTACCATCTCTTTGAATATCCATATAACTGTATCTCTGACACTGATACACTGGTACACACCAGGCACTGCTGACCCTGCTCTGAATGATAGCATTCTCTGGTGTGTGTTATCATGAATACAAAGGGAGAGAACTGTGTGACCTGGGGCAAGTTACTCAACCCCTCTGTGCCTGAGTTGCCTTTATCTTTGAAAATGGGAAAAGAAATGAATTCCTATATGCAAAGTACGTAGAAGTCATTCACTCATTCAGCCCTCATCAGGAGCACATGAAGTCCAGCTTTGGCACCCTTGTCAGTGGGGAAGCCAGCCATGGGGGAACTGGTGAGGCCACAGCAAGGTGGTGGGATGGAAGGGGTGTCCTGGGTCAGCTGGCCTCCCAGGAGCAAACATCAGCTGCCAGCACTGGGGCTGGTGACTGGACCCTGACCACGACCTGGGCTGTTCCTTCCAGAATGGGAAGCTGCTAGCCGAGCGGGATGGAGTGAAGAGGCGGAGTGAGGAGCTGGCCACGGAGAAGGACGCTCTGAAGGTGTGGCCCTTCCCAGCAGGCTCCACCTGTCCAGGGCCTCGTGGAGGCTCCCACCCGGCAGCTCACCTGGAGTCTCCTTCAGAGCAGCTGATATTTGGGGGTGCCACTGTAGGCTGAGGGGAGGCCAGGTGGGGACAGCAGGGACGTGGGGGCCAGTAGGAGGGTGAGGAGGGGCAGGTGAAGAGATAGGCTTTCCTTGGCAGCGGCAGCTCTGTGAGTGCGAACGCCTCGTTTGCCAGCACGAAGCAGTCCTCTCCGAGGTGAGGAATAGTGGTCCAGCCCCCACCACACCTTATGAATACACCCCCTAGCCTCTGCGCTGTGGCAGGAGCCCACCCAACTTTGGGCCCTGGCCCAACAAGCCCAAGAGTTTCTCCCAGGTCACAGTGTGGCCCTCAGGGTCTGGAAGCCCCTCTGCTCCCAGCTCTCCCCTCTCCCAGCAGCCTCATGTCTTGGGGGACTGGGCCCTGGCTCAGGTAGCTTTCCGTTTTCCCAGCGCACCCGCCATGCAGAGAATCTGGCCCAGACCCTGGAGGAATACAGGAGCACCACCCAGGTACGAGAGGGCAGCAGTGCAGGTGTGCCTCTTCTGTCGGCCCAGCTCTTTAAAAGATTTTGTTTTTAATTGTGTGTGTGTGTGTGTGTGTGTGTGTGTGTGTGTGTGTGTGTGTGTGTAAGTTTGTGCATATATGAGTGCAGTTGCCCATGGAGGCCAGAAGAGGACACAGGATCCCCTGGAGCTGCCTGATGTGGGTGCTGGGAGCTGAGCTTGGGTCCCCTGCAAGAGCAGCGTGTTCTCTTAACCACTGAGCCATCTCTCCAGCCTGGTCTGTCCATTTCTACCAGGTCTTTGCACCTGATGCTTCCCTTCCCGCTGGCCACTGTGTCTCCTGTCCACACTTCTGCCTTTTTACTCGGCCCCTTCCTTCCTCACTCTCTCTTGCATCTGTTTCATTTTCTGCGGTGTCTTCCCACAGCACCCCATCGCTGTCTCTGCTGGGTTCCGGGTGGCCTCACGTGGCCTCTGAGCCGAGTCTGTCTCCCTGGTTGACTGCAGGCTCTGTTCTTTGTGTGTCCCCACCTAGGAGATGTGACCACCCAGTCTGCTCTGCCTTCTGTGCTGCCCCTGTGCCCTGGTCCCTCCAGACTCAGGGTTCTGTCACTTCCCCTGCTTCCTTGGCACCGCTGTCTAGGAAGAGGAGCCCAAGGTGTCTGTGGCCCCACCCGGGCCCATGCTCTGCCTCCCTTGCAGGAACTAAGGCGAGAAATCTTGAACCTGGAGGAGCAGCTGAGTCAGAGCCAGGAGAGTCAGGATGAGTGAGTGGACAGTAGAGAGGGAGGGGGGACCAGTGAGGGGGCGAGTGGACAGTAGAGAGGGAGGGGGGACCAGTGAGGGGGTGAGTGGAGAGAAGGGAGGGAAGGGGGACCAGTGAGGGGGTGAGTGGGTGGACAGAAGGGAGGGAAGGGGGACTGGTGAGCAAGTGATGGGGCAGAAGGGTGAGGGATTAAGTCAGTGGACACTTGGGTATAGGAGGGGCAGGAGGGAGCCTGACCAAGCAAGTGGAGGCCATGGGGCAGGGGCAAGGGCTGTGTGGCAGGCCTGCAGCAGCCTCCCCTTTTTGGCCAGGCTGCTGGAAGGGGTAGAGGCAGGAAGAGCAGGCTGGACTGTGGCACTGCCCCCATCACTGGGCTTGGAGATCCAGGCCATCCGGCAGGTAGGCCCCACCTCTGGAATGTTCTGGAGGCTAGCAAGGTAGAAATTCAATGTCTGCCTGTGCCGACCTTCACTCCTGGCTCACAGCCCAGAACTATGAGTGCTTGGCCCACTTGGGGACACCAACTCACAGTGCTGCCAGAGTGGCTCTACCCAGTCCCCTCTCTCCTCCAGCTTCCCTGCCTCGGGTCCAGCCCTGCTCCCTGGTTTCCTCAGGCCCTGTGACCATCTTGTTCCCTAACATCATCTCCCTTACAGTGTGTCCCTGTACGAAGTTCTGCACCTGTTCCTGCCTCCCACAACGCATCCACCTCCCACCCACCATCCCATGCCAGCCCCGGGCCTGATGCCCCCCCAGCCTTGCTCTTGCCCTCCCCACACCCGAGCCCCCAACCTCATCCTGCCTGGCCCTCTGCCTTGTTCCTGTCCTCCCCAGCTCAGAAACAGCTTCTCTTTACAGGAGCAGGCCATGGCAGGCACTGGCCTCTCCAGTCCTCTGTGTGGACTATGGCGGTGGGAGGAGCCCGGGTTTCCCTCTGGGGATGGTGACAGGCAACAGGTAAGGGGGTCAGGGAGCAGGTTCTGAGCCACTGGAGTTCAGGGCTCCAGGAGCTCCAAGCACCTGCCTGGCCTCTCTGACCCTTGATGTCCTATTCATTGGGTTCTGGTTCTGCAGCCTCAGCAAACAACACACCTGCCCTCAAGGGACAGGCAATCTCAAGCCCCTCTGTGTGAACTGTCAGGATTCCTTCTCACAGCTGTGCCATCCAGGAAAGACATGAGCTGCCCATCCTTTCACTAGGCAGCCACTGGGCACTGTGCTTCCTGTATGAAGTGCCCTCAGTGGCTTAGCATGAGATGGGCTCCCCAAGACCCTGTCTTGGAAAAAGAAAGAAAAGGAAAGCTTAGCAAGCTCATTGTGAGATCCCCCCTTCCCCAAGGATGGAACCCAGGGTCTGTGCTGTGCCCCTCTACCACTGAGCTGCAGCCCAGCACACCCGTGTTGGCCTGGCACACAGCCAAGTGGCCCAGGACAGGAGAAAGCCCCAAGTAGGCTGCCACTGCAGGTGGTGGCTGGTATGGGATAGAGAGGAGTGTGGGGTGGGCATGATGGACCATACATAACAAGGCCTTCCAGGAGTTGGAAACTGAGATGCCTGTGGACAGAAAACCACACAAGGGGCTTAGGACTAGAGTAACTGGGATGAAGAAATGACTAGGGGCAAGACAGGGCCAATCAAGGGGACCCCTGCATGCCCCGGGCTGTTAGCCAGGAGCTATGGCAGGGTGGACTCAGGGCTGAGAAGACCCCTGTGGACTGGAGCCGGGAGGGACCAGCTGCGGAGAACGGGGAGGGGCAGAGCATGGGGATGGAGGAGAGCTCAGAGCCTGGGTGCTGGGTCTGGGGAGGGGCAGGAGGGCAGTGTAGGGAGGGGGTGGAGGGAGGGCAAGCTTATCTGGTCCCTGGGAGGTGACATCCTGAGACACAACTAGGGGCCACCAGAGGAAGCTGGTTGCACAGGGCCAGAGCTCAAAGCTGTATTCAAAACTTGTCAGAATGACTGTGGTGGTTCACACCCCTAATTCTAGTACTGGGGGGTGGGGACTGAGGCAAAAGATTGCATGAGTTTGAGACCAGCCTGGTCTACAGAGTTAGAGTCTGTCTCTCAAAAAAAAAAAAAAAATGTTGAGCATGGTGGCACACCCCTGAAATCCCAGAATCCCAGCTCTTGGGGGCAGGAAGATCCAGAGCTCAAGGCCTCCTTAGCTACATAGTGAGTTTGAGACCAGCCTGGGCTGCATGAGACTCTCTTAAAAAAGCAGCAACAAACCGGGCGTGGTGGCGCATGCCTGTAGTCCCAGTACTTGGGAGACAGAGGCAGGCAGATCTCTGTGAGTTCAAGGCCAGCCTGGTCTACATAGTGAGTTCCAGGACAGCTGGGGCTACAGGGAGACCCTGCTTCAAAAAGACAAGAAAACAAAAAAAAAAAACAGCAACAAAAAGAAAAGTGTCAGGTTGGTTGAGTTGGTAGCTAAGGACACAGGCATAAATCAGACATGAACCCAGGCCCTGCAGAGGAGCAGGGACCAGCCAGAGCCCCCCAAAAGGGGTGGGGAGAAAGTGCCAAGCTCCTCAAGTACAGGGAGTGGAGGGCATCCTAGGGACCTGGATCCAGGGTTTTCAGAGGGGGCTTGGCAGAGTTCCAAGCCACCAACACACGTCTGACTTCTCTGAGCTGAGAGGGAGCCCCAAAAGACCTCTTAGGAGAAGCTTGTAGCCCAGGGACCTTAGGTCAGAGGGGGCCTGGCTGGGACTGGAGCGGAAGTCTAGGAGAGGGTTCCCAGTGAGAAGATCCAAGGAGACCAAACCTTTTGTTTCACAGAGAAACTTCCAAAGAGAGCCAGAAGGAAGCCGGGCGCCATCCCCAAGGTAAGGAGCTGTCACCAATCCCACCCTCTGCCCAGATGTGGCTTCTGGGTATTACAAGACACAACTGGGACCTCCTGCAGGAGTCTCATGTTCCTCTTCCACTGCTTCACCCATGACTGCCTCAGCACCCTGGGCCTGTGGGGGGGAGGGGTCAGCCCCGCCCTGCCCTCTGCACATCTGGGTCAAGGAAGATACTGACCCTGATGGTTCCAGGAGGAGGTAGCCACCTGGCATTCAGGGGTTTCCTGAGGGGGCTGTTTGGGCAAGCCAAGGACCAGGCTATTAATTAGTACAGGTTTGCAACTGTCACCCTCCAAGGAGCCTGGGGTATAGAACCAAGGCAGATGGGGCCCTCAGAGGGCTCCCAGCCAGACCCTAGGCAGGTCCTGCCTCAAGTCCCTCAAGGGGCTAAGGCAGGCCTCTGGGTCTGAGTCTGCCCTGTGACTGATGAGGGAGTGACGGCACTGGATGTGTGGACACTGCGCCCCCGATATCCTGTGGGGGCCCTCCGCCTCCAGGCTCCCGCTGCTGCTAATGAGGCCCCTGAACAGCCTCTAATTGGACTTGTCTGGGCAGAGCTGAGATTGGGCGGGCTGGGGGCTCAGATCTGTGACCTCCCCCTACGTCATCAGGAAGGAGGAAAGAAGGGACTGACGTGCAGAGGCATGGCTGCGACCACCTCATTTCCAGGGGACATTTGACCCGAGTTGGAAGCAGGGGACGGGGTGACAAACACTGGGGCCCCGATGGGGGGGTGGGGGTCCTGACCTCCAAGAGGTCAGAGACTAAGCTGCCTGCCCCACCCCATGGGCATTCCAGAGGGTCACCAGGGTGTGCAGTGGGACTGAGCGGGAGCAGCTGTGTCTGATGCTACGGCTTGATGCCAGCTGGTCCCCAGGGAAGCCTGGGCAGGTGGCAGTGACATCAGGATGGGCAGCTTGAGCCTAGGGCCTCCAAGGCTGTGTCACTGGTGTAGGCCAAGGCTGGCACCCCCAAAGAAGTTATTTGGGTATGGGAAAGGCCAAGCAGTGGGGTTCCAGGGCTGGGAGCTCTGAGGTGGAGTCTCGGTCTCTTAAGATCCATCCTGGAAATGGTGTGGCACCCCCCCCCAAGGGAGATGGGGATTCACACCCTGAGGTGTCTGGTGTGGGGGTGAAGCATGGAGCCGTAGACCAGCTGCACAGGGGAACTGGCCCCTTCACCTTTTGGTGGTTACAGACTCCAAGATTTTTTTTTAATTCCTGAAAAGTATACCCGGGACCTCCCAGCACACCCTGAGGCCCACTGTGGGCTAAACCCACTGACAACTCCAGCAGCAGCTCTCAGTGGGCAAAGGGAGCTGGGGGTGTCCAGTGACTTTGTTGGCTGCAGGTTGCCCAGAAGAGAGGAAGAGGAGGAAGCAAAGGAGGAAGAGCAGAGCTGGGTCCTGGTAGGCAGTGCCTAAACTTCTGTCTGTCTGCAGAAGCTGAGGAGCTGCTCCCAACCCCACCCTAACCCAGGCTTCTCCACAGCAGACAGAAAAAATCATTTGTTGGGGAGATAACAAGGCCCTCACTGCAGTTAATGAGGGCAGGGGGTGGCTGGAGGCAGTCTGCAGGCCAGGGTGTTCCCAGGGGACCACACACACACACACACACACACACACACACACACACACACTGCAGCTGCCACACCAGCCACACCAAGCCTCTTGGACATGGCTGCACCCTGGATTGTAGCATGCATTCCCACATGCTCCCACTCACCAGGGAACTGGTAGCCTCCATGGCCTGGACATATTGCTTGGCCCTGGGCTCCTCCATCTCTCTCTTCTACTCCTCCTTCCCCCACTCCTCCCTCCTCCACTCCCTCCTCTCTGTGGCAGGTCCAGATGGAGACCACACCCCAGCTCTGGGCAGGGAAGGTAAAGGAACTTGATGGGCAGTGCAGGGTCTGCTGAGGAGCGCAGGGCAGTCTTGTCAGGTCACTGCATGTGCAGCAGGTGGTCCTCCAGAGACAAGGGTGAGGGCTTGTGGGGCCGTGGGGACTTTCACCTCGGCTTTGGCACTGGTTCCGACATTGCCGGACACACTGTGCCCAGCACAGGGACAGGCGCGAGCAGATCACTGCCCTGGGGGCTGAGAAGCTTCCAGATTAGTGAGGCAGCTGGCACCGTCCTCCCTGACCATACTGCCAGGCCCCCCCTCCCCGTTCACTCGGGCCCTAGGTCAGCCCTGTGAGGTGCGGGCTGTCCTCGGCCATGATGTCAGAATCCAGGGTGCTGGCCACGCTCCCCGAGGGCAGAGCCGGAGAGCATGCGCACTGACCTCTCTCCTCCCAGGCCCAGTCCCCCAACGCTCTGGGAGACTCTCACCGTTCTCATACCCCAGCAGGCGCCCCCAACAGGTACAGGGACCACAGGAGCTGGGAGTGGATGGGGTCTGGAAGGGATGTGGGACAGACCGGAAACCCGGCGTGATGCCCTTCCCGCCCGTTTCCAGCCGCCCAGCCACAGCGGAGCTGCCGCGAGCCCTGGTGCCTATGCAGACAGATCTCGTCCCGGTCTGGAAGCCGAGTGCGCAGCGATGCCTGCGCCCCCAGCGCCCTCCGCGGCTCAGGTGCGCCCGAGGTCCCCAAGTCCTGGTGGGCGCGGACCCCCTGCGCCGCGCTCAGCCCGCCCTACATCCCCTCCAGGGTCAGCCGGCACTCACTGGTGCCCACGCCCGTGCTGTGCCTGCTGCTGCTGCTGCTGCTGCTGTCCGTCCTGCTGCTCGGCCAGTCCCCGCCCCCAACCTGGCCCCACCTGCAGCTCTGCTACCTGCAGCCCCCACCGGTGTGAGGCCCTGGACCCCGCCCCCCGCCGCACCTCCTGCCGCACCCCCACCGCGGTCCCACCTTGCCGGAGCCGGACCAGCAGCCCCATCCCCACGTGTTTGCGCGTGACTGTGACCTCTCGCGTTTCTTTAACAATAGCAAACCGCATAATGGCTTCTGCACCAGTGATTTCCTCCCCGGACACGGGCTGGATGGGTGGGGGGGCAGAGGCGGGCGGCCAGGGGAGGAGAGGGGAGGGAATCACGCTGTGTCTGGAGCGCAGCTTGAGGGGGCAGCTCAGACCCGGGGAAGCCGGCGCAACACCCGGCAAGACCACCTCGAGCCACGGTCACGCTAAAGGCCCCACACCCTCCGCACCTGCCCGGGCCTCTCCGGACCCTGCCCTACTGCACCCGGGGCTCCTTCAGCCTCTCCCGGTAGAGCCCGAGAACCCCCACCCCCGTGCTCCGAGCACCCAGAGCTGGCTGGGGCTGAGCTGGCTGCACGCAGGGATCGGGGAGTCTGGAAGAGTCCGCAGGGCAGTGGGAAGAAGCCCGGGGTGCGGGGAGCATGGGTGCGTGCACATGGCATTGTGGGGTGTCTGCGGTACGCCAGGACAGGAGTCCGCCTGGCTCTGTCGCGGGTGGAACAGCCGCTCCCACTGGGAGCCACGCGGAGAAGCAGCTCCACCCTCAGCCCTGGGGCCAATCAGGGCGCGGTCCGCCTCCCGGAAATGCACATTTTGGCCGGCGCGGCCCCACCCTCCTCCGTGGGCCAATCCGAGCGCGATCCGCTCGCGCTGCGCCCATGCTCGGGCTCTGAGGGCTAGGAGCGGGTCGGTCTTCACTGGGGGCGGGTCGTCCGGGGAGCCAAGGCGCTGATTGGCTGCGCGCTCGAGGCACCTGTGGCCGGGGGTCCCTGCCCTCCTAGACACGAATCGGTGGCTCGGGAGAGGGCACCAGGGCAGTCCAGAGAAGAGGAAAACTGAGGCAGGTGAGCTGCAGGAGCTTCGGGAGATGCGAAGGCAGGAAGAGTGCAGAGACTCAGATCTACGCCCGCAGAGGAAAAAACCCAGCAGGGCCGAGCCCCCGAGGGCGGCAGAAGGGAAAGAACTGAGCTGGGGTTGGGAGCCTGGACGGCTGCGGAGACCTGAGGGGAAGGGACGTGGATACGGAGGGACTGGGATCCCGGGAACGAGGAAACGCAGAGCTGGGAGCACAGACCCGAGGAGCGGGGTGCTTTAACGGAATAGTACACGGGAGAGAAAAAGAGGCTAGACTACAGCGAGGCGGGGGCCTAGCCCACCCCGCATCCCCCGCACCACCACGGGCTGCGCAGCAAGGAGGCGGTGCGAGCACGGCAGGCTGTTTATTGCGCGGGGCGGCGCCCAGGGGCTTCGAGTAGCAGCAGCTTTTGCAGGTAGGAGTCTAGCCAGCGGCGCCGCTCCAGGGCTGCCAGCAGCCGCGCGCGCTCCCGAAAGGCCGCGTCGTCCGCCAGCGCCAGGCTACGCCGAGACCGGGGACAGAAGGCGCGCACCCAGGCCAGACCCGGGCCGCCCGGGCTGCAGGAGAGGGGGTGGGTGAGTGCCCAGCCCACCCGGGCCTCCCGGAAGTCTGCCCCCCCCCGTACCTCGCCTGGTCTGGGGTCTCTGTCCCCTTCTCATTAGTCTCCCCACCTCCCCGCTTCCTGGGCACCCAGGACCTCACACCCACCTGATCTCCCCAGCCAGGGGCAGGGCAACCCCGGAGGCAGGGCCGGTGCCCCAGGGCACCAGCAGCAGCAGTAGCAGCAGCAGCAGCAGCAGCAGCAGCCGCACGCGGGGCGTCCTGGACACCTGGCGGGTCTCCATCACCTGTGGAAAGGGGCGGGCAGGCTGGTGGTATCACCACCCTAAGCAGAGCCCGGGGCTCCAGGCCCCAGCCGCCCTCGGGCTTCAGCCCCCCGCCGCCCTCGGGCTCCAGCCCCCCAGCCGCCCTCGGGCTCCCTACCGCGCAGTGGGCTCGGGCAGCACTGTCCGCGGCCCCTTTTATCCCCGCACAGCCTCCGCAGCCGCAGTGACGCAGGCCGGGCCGGGGGCGCGGGGTCACCGCACCCCAGGCTCATTAGAAGCCGCCAGCGGTAATGAGGAGCCCGGGTGGGGGCCTGCTGTCGTAGCTGCCAGCAACTAATTGGGCCCAGGAGCTGGGACCGAGAAAGAGGGAGTGTGGGGCGGGGGTAGAGAGACAGACAGAGAGGTGGACATAAGGGGTGTGTCAGAGATAAAAATAGAGACGGCAGAGGGGAACCATCAGAGCACAAGTCAGGGACAGAGGGAGGGAGAGCAGAGGGACTGGAGAGGAGGAAGGGACAGGAAAGGAATAACCTCCAGGCACACGGACCAAGACAGAGACCCCCGAGGGGGATGAGGGAGAGGGGAAGGTGCCTAGACAGACCAAGACAGAGACACCCCCCAGGAGGGGGGATGAGGAAGGGGAGGAAGGTGCCCAGGCAGCTGGAGATGGGACAGTAAGGCTGACACCCCCAAGAGGTGGAAAGGACAGGCTGACCCAACTGAGAGAGCCAGGGGACAGCCAACCAGGGAGGGACAAGGCCCTGACCCTCAAGGATGGGTGATGGGTTTTTCTCCTTCCCCGAGGTACATTGAGGCTTGAAAATAAGATGAAATCCTCCAAACCTGGGGTCTCTAAAAGGTAAGTGATGATGACACACACGCCTGTCCTCCCAGCAATCAGGAGGCAGAAGTGGGTTTGAGGCCAGGCAAGGCACATAGACTCTGAATCAAAAAATGAAAAATAGAGAGCTACTCATAGACAGAGGGGGTGCCAGCATAGGTGGTGAGGGCCCCTAAAGGGCAGCCATGCACAGGGGCTCCTGCCTCCTCAGAGAGGAGAGAGGCACAAGTGTGGACTCCCAGACCTAAGGGTGGCTGGACAGGAAACCGGATTCCTGGATTCTTCAGTCTGGAGGGGGTGCAGGGGCCTGACCAGGTCAAGGTAGGAAGGTACAGCAGGGCTAGACCACTGGGTTTGCACAGCAGAGTGAAGAGGTCAAGGACTCAGGCTCTGGAGTTTGTTTAGTTTCTTAGGTTGGCTGTTGGTTTGTGTGTGTGTGTTTGGTTGGTTTTCGTAACTTTGTTTCTGAGAAGAGGTCCCTCTGTAGTCCAGGCTGGCCTAGAACTGACTCTGTTGCCCAGAATGACCTCACACTTGTAGCAGTCCTCCTCCCTCAGCCACCCAAATGCTGGGGTCACAGGCAAAGTCAACACTCCTGATTCTTGTTTTTGAGACATAGTCTAGTTTGGTAGTCCAGGCTGGCCTGGATCTCACTATGGCTTTGAACTCACAATCCTCCTGCCTCAGCTTCCCAAGAACTGGAATCGCAAGCCTGTGTGAGCACACCCGGCCAACCTTTGGTTTCAAACATTGCTTGAATTCTAACTTCCTTCTCTACCCCAGAGACAATATCCTTTAACTCTGTTCCTTTAAGAACCTCAGTTGGTTGCTAGGCTCCCACATGTCCCTGGGAGAAGGTCTGGTGCGTCACCTGTCACCTGTGTGCCTCTGGGACCCCAGCACCTGCCCCTCCAAAGCCCTTTGGCAGCACTCACTGCCTGTCTCTTACCCAGCTCTGTTCGTCTGTTGTTCTCCCGGACACCACTGAGCAGGTAAGATACCCCAAGACCCCAAGTGACCCTGTCTCACCCAGGCTACCTCCTCCTGCACCTTCACCAACCACAGAGGCTGCTGGATCCCTAGCTCTATCCCCTATAAATGGAGCTGAGTGTCCTGTGCCACAGCTCCCTGACACATCCCAGGCCCTGTCCTCACCAGGCTGTAGAGTCCATACCTCAGATCCCTATATCTGAAGGATCTAGAACTCAGATCCAGACCCCATGTCACACAGGGCTCAAGCCTCCCACGGCCTTTTTCCTGTCACCAAGCCCCACCCTGAGGCTCCAAAATTCTTAGCATCAAAATCTCCAAGCTCCTAACTTCCAGAGAGAACTCAGGACATAGACCCTGAGGAGCCCAGAACGCAAAAATCTCCTTGCCAGGACCTGGGGGGGTCTTCCTCTTCCCTCCCACCCAGGAGTGTGACCCCAGGCCTCCATGCTCAGCCTCTAGTGCAAAGGCCAGTGCAGTCCTGCCTTCTCAGACACCCTGGGAGAGGATGGTGACCCTGTGTCCCCTTGACCATCTGTACCCCCCGAAGGTGAAACCTAACATTTGTGGGGCCTTGGAGAGGTGTCATTATGTCCCAATATTTCTGGGACCCCCTCTGGGAAATCAACTAACCCTCTCAGAAGCCCTGTCTCCTTAGTAACTGTAGTTACCACCCCACAGCCCCACCCCGCGGGCTCCAGGAGTGGCTGATGGGTTCTGCTCCAGTCCCTGGACAGACCTGGTAACCAGGAGCATGGCCTCTGGGAGTGGGCATGGCTTGTGGTGCCTTGTCCTTAACACTTTCCTACCTGCTCCTCCCACAGCCATCGGCCTCTCTGAGCACCATGCTGCCCTTCAGCCCCATCCTCTTTCTCCTCCTCTTCACCGGTCTGGGTTCCAAGGCGGTTCCCTCAGCTTCTCCGCCTGTGGGCTCTGACCGCCAGGGTATGCCCTCTGAGATGCCAACTAGTGCTCCAGAAAATTCTACTAGAAACAGTCCTACTCTGGGATCCCCTGAAAATGTTTATCAGGACCCCTCCCAGATGCCACCCTCCATTTCCCCTGACACCTCCCCAAGAGACTTTGGTGGACCTCCCAGCCCTGACCTTCCAAACTCCCCAAAGACCCTCACACCCGACCTGCCTACAACCTCAGCAGCAGAACCCCAGGACACTTCACAAACAGATCCCCCCAAAGTGACCCTCCCAGAACCTTCTGAGACTCCCAAACCGGACCTGACTGGAACTCAGCCAGAACCCACAGAAATCCCAAAACCTAATCCCTCCAAAGCTCCACTCCCAGACTCCACACACACCAGCCCCACACTAACTACACAACAAGAGCCCTCAGGGGCCCCCGAAGATGCCCCTGAAATTTCACCTGGCAAAGCCCCAGGGACTCCAAACCCTGGCCCCACCCAGCACCTGCTCTCTGAACCCCTAGAAACCAATGAACCTGACACTCCTGACACCCTGACCTCTGTCTCACCCCCAACCACCCATTCTGACCTCAATGAAACCCCCCAGCCAGGGTCTGTTGTCACCCACAATCCCAATCCCACTGACATCCCCCAAGGACAGTTCCCCACAACGCACCACCAGAATGCAACAGTGATGGCCGTGACCTCTGACCTGGTCACTAACATTCCCATCGAACTGCCAACACCCTTCTCTGGGGAAGCCACTGCCCCTTATGAGCCAGACCTGAGTCTGGGCCCAGAAGCCCCTGCTGCCACCGAAGCTGCCACCACTGACCTGCCCCCCTCAGATTCCCCAGGGGCCAGAGAGCTGAAGATCCCCCAGAACTCAAACCCCAAAGGGCCAGATACTCCTCCCTCAGCACGGATTGCAGGGCCCCCTGCTCCTCCAGAGCTCCCCAGTCAAGGAGCCCCTGCCGTGCCCCATGCCCCTCAGAGACACAGCCGAGGTGAGACAGTCAACACTATCATCCTGGTGGAGCAAGTGAAGGAGACTGGTGAGGGGCCTGGGTCTGAGGGAGGAGGCTGGGGAGGGGCCTGGGTCTGAGGAGGAGGCTGGGGAGGACTCCTGGGTCTGATGGAGGAGGCTGGGGAGGGGCCTGGGTCTGAGGAGGAGGCTGGGGAGGACTCCTGGGTCTGATGGAGGAGGCTGGGGAGGGGCCTGGGTCTGAGGAGGAGGCTGGGGAGGACTCCTGGGTCTGATGGAGGAGGCTGGGGAGGGGCCTGGGTCTGAGGAGGAGGCTGGGGAGGACTCCTGGGTCTGATGGAGGAGGCTGGGGAGGGGCCTGGGTCTGAGGAGGAGGCTGGGGAGGACTCCTGGGTCTGATGGAGGAGGCTGGGGAGGGGCCTGGGTCTGAGGAGGATGAGGAGGCTGGGAAGGACCCCTAGGTCTGAGGGAGGAGGCTGGGGAGGGGCCTGGGTCTGAGGGAGGAGGTTGGGGAGGACTCCTGGGTCTGAGGGAGGAGGCTGGGAAGGGGCCTGGGTCTGAGGGAGGAGGCTGGGGAGGACTCCTGGGTCTGAGGAGGAGGCTGGGGAGGGGCCTGGGTCTGAGGGAGGAGGTTAGGGAGGACCTCTGGGTCTGAGGAGGAGGCTGGGGAGGACTCCTGGGTCTGAGGGAGGAGGCTGGGGAGGGGCCTGGGTCTGAGGGAGGAGGCTGGGGAGGACCTTGGGTCTGAGGGAGGAGGCTGGGGAGGACCTCTGGGTCTGAGGGAGGAGGCTGGGGAGGACCCCTGGGTCTGAGAGAGGAGGATCCTCAGACTTAGATTGCTATGTTCTCCCTCAGGTGTGACTCTCGTTAGCCGCCCCCGAGGCTCCACTAGCGGGGCCTTGTGCCTGTTCTTTGCGGGGACTGGGCTGCTGATCGGCATCTTCCTCCTGCTCTGGTGTCTCTACCGCCGGGCCTCAAGACACAGGTCCTTTGCACACCACCGGCTCACAGACAGTGGAGATGAGCCAGGTTAGTACCTGCATGCCCCAGAATGTCTGCAGGGCTCCTCACCTCCTCCTACCTGCCCATTAGGACACCCTTCTAAGGATACAGGTCCCCATCCAAGCTCAGAGGCAGGCCTCATCCCACCATCATCTCCTCCCAGCCCTGCAGATCTTCAGTTCCTCTTCCCTTCCTCTACTTCCCCTCCTCCCTCCTGTCTCCTCCTCTTCCTCACCTTCTTTGACAAGGTCTCACTATGTAGCCCAGACTCCCTGCTTCATTTAGAGCAATCCTCCTGCCTCAGCCTCCTGAGTGCAGGGATTACAAATGAGGGTTAGTATGCCCAGCTTGTAATCAGAGAGAGAGAGAGAGCGACAGAGAGACAGAGAGAGAGAAAGAGAGAGAGAGAGAGAGAGAGAGAGAGAGAGAGAGAGAGAGAGAGAGAGAACGAGAACCAGACTAGCCTAGTTAAAACCTTTCTCAGTGTCTAAGGCCCTGCCTTTCCTGGTCCTGGGACCCGGCTAGACCCTCTCCTCGTAGTTCCCTCCCTTCTCTGCAGGCTTTGTCCCTTTTGGGCCTGTACCCCATGCCTCAAGGTGGTTCAGGCCCAAGTCTTCTCATTGTCCAGCTGAGTGACCCCCACCTTGCCCCTCAGCCTTGCACCTGGACACCCCAAAGGACCCCTTCAACCTCTACTTCTATGCGCCAGATGCCTGGGTGCCTTCACACATCGCCACCAAGCAGCCACCCACACCCCCCCTGCCACCCAAGCTGCCCCCACCGCCCCGCGGGGGGCGACCCCAGCGCCTGGAGGCTCTGTCCCCTGCCACACTGCCCAACAACTTCGTGTGAACCCTTCAGGGACCCATGAGTCCTGCCCCCAGCACTGCTCAGAGAAGCTCTGGAGAGCCCAGCACAGCATCCGCACCCCCATTCAGAGGAGCCTAATAAACCACTGTGGACCCCACAGAGTCCTTGTCTAAATGGTGTGCTGGTCACTGGGCTCCAGCCCAGCCCAAGGGACCATGCAAGGAGGCCGAGTAAACTGGGGGGGGGGGGTCCGCAGGGTCCGAGGGAGAGGCTGGGGTCCAGCAGGGTCTGAGTGGGAGGCTGGGGCCCAGCACGGTCTGAGGGAGAAGGGCTAGGGTCTGGATTCCAGTGACCCCTACATCCAGCGACAACCTGGTCTGTACACCAAAGCATTTATTGGGAGTGGGGTGGGGCAGGATTCACAGTCACAGAGACAGACACCCAAGACACAGCCCTGCCCCAGGGAACAGCCCATTCTCCCAACCCCAGTCCCCTTCCTGGGATTTTGTAACTTCTCCAACATACGTTCCCCACATTTCTATGTCAAGAAAGGGGTGTCTGTGAGAGGAAGCTCCCCAGATTTGGAGTCATTTAGCCCCTGAGGGACACAACAAATGGCCGCTGAGAACCTGAAGGCAGTCAGAAGCTACCCAGGAGAATAAAGTGCAAAGACCTGGGGAAAGGGTCTTGAAACCACCATGGGGAAGAGGTGGTGGCTTCAAACCACTGAATCAATAGACTTCAGCAGCCACGTTTGGACCTGAACACTCAGAAAAAGTGCATGGGGTAGACAGGCCTACTGTCAAAACTGCCATTTTGGTCATTTCCCTGGACATAGTGCTAAGCTAAGGATAAGGTGTTTCAGCAGAGTATGCTGGGGAGGGGAGGGGGGAAGTGAGGAGTGGGGAGACTTGAAACCGCCATTTCCCCTCAGAAACGCTGGTGAGAATCAATCCCTGGAATGGCGGGGATGGTGGTTGGTTAAACCAACTTGGGAAATGCAGAATAGGTTAGCCTCTGAACTGACAGAGGACGACCTTGAATTTTTCCGAGTTGGAGACAGGCTAAGTCATCTTAGGGTAGCCTGAGAATCCTTGGGGTTCTAGGAGGGATGCCTCAAAAACACAGAAAAGAGGTTGAACTGTCCATCTAAATAAAGCCCTGAAATGAGAAACTTGAAACCACTGAGGCAGAACAAGGGGAGAAGAGAAACGTCCAGGAGAGTCTGGGTACCCTTGAAACTGCCAGTGTGCAGCTTCACCACCCCTGAGAGGCAGTTGGGAAGGGAAGAGGGTTGGATGGCACTGGGAACAAGGGAAGACTGCATCACAAGCCTGGGGCAGGACAGTGAAGTGGGGTTCCCTGACACTGCCACTCAGGCCCCCAGAGGTGTATGGAGTGGAGGTCCTGGAAACTGCCGATCAGTGGGAGGCACGTGGTCAGTAGCCCCGGAGAGGGGGTGGGGGCCTCGGTGGCTGCACTGTGTTGTGTGTGGCTCCGTAGGAAGGAGGCGGCGCAGGGGGAGCCCCCGGGGGTTCGGCCTCGTCTTCCATTTCACTGTCGTCACTGCCAGCCAGCTGGTCGTGGCCCACGAAGCCGCACTTCTCCTCGCTCAGCTCCTCTGGCTCTGCCCATGGCTGCTTCTCTCCAGAAGCAAAGACACCGTAGAAGATGACACCCCCATAGTGCACCAGGGAGGCGATGAGGAACACGTACTGCCACTCCTCCCGCGTCTGACAGAGGCAAACAGAGAGCAGGTCAAACGAAAGAGATGGAGAGGCTGCGGACTGGGACACCTGCGGTATCAGCGACTCTGGTAGAGGACAGCCTGGGCTGTGTGAAATGCAGTCTGTGAGTGTGTGTGAGTGTGTGTATGTGTGCATGCACATGCATGCGGGCACAAGCACATGTGCACATACTGGGGCTGGAGAGATGGCTCAGAAGTTAGCACACCGGCTGCTCTTGCAGAGGATCCGGGTACAGTTCCCAGAACCCACATACACTAACAACCATCTGTAACTCCGGTTCCAGGGGACCCGACGCCCTCCTCTGGCCTCTGTGGGAACAGCACTCACAAGCACATACACACACACAGAGAGACATACATAATTAAAAATAAAGCAGGCATGGTGATACACACCTTTAGTTCCAACACTGAGAAGGCAGAGGTGGGTGGATATCTGTGAGTTCAAGGCCAGCCTGGTCTACATAGAGAGTTCCAAGTCAGCTGGGACTACAGAGGGACCCTCTCTCAAAAAGACCAAAAAAAAAAAAAAAAGTAGAGGGAGAATGGACTGGAGAGATGGCTCAGTGGTTAAGAGCACTAACTACTCTTGCAGAAGGCCCAGGTTTGAATCCCAGCACCCACAGGACGGCTAACAACCATCTGTAATTCCAGTTCCAGGGGCTCCAAGGCCCTCTTCTGTCCTCTATGGACATTGCACAACATGAGTGTACTTACATACATGCAAGTAATACACTCACACAAATAAAATAACTAATTAAAATTTTAGCCGGGCGTGGTGGCACAACGCCTTTAATTCCAGCACTCGGGAGGCAGAGGCAGGCAGATCTCTGTGAGTTCAAGGCCAGCCTGGTCTACATAGTGAGTTCCAGGCCAGCGGGGCTACAGGGAGACCCTGTCTCAAAAAGACCAAAAAAAAATTTTTTTTAAATAAGAGAAGAAAGGGAGGAAGAAACTTGGTGTCAGGAAGGTTCTAGGCATGCACTTGGAGGGCTGTGCTGACCTTGTGCTTGGTCATAGCGCCCACGATGATGGGGCACACCATCCCGGACAGCGTGCCCACACCGTTGGAGATGCCCATCAGGATGCTGGCGTATCGCGGGGCGATGTCCAGGTGATTCACATTAAACCCTGGTGGGGGTATCAAGTCAGAATCCCACACTTGTATGACCCTGAGGCCACCTGGGACATTCCTCACACCCACCCCATTCCCTGTTCTTCTGAAAGGCCTATTTCTTTCCTTTTTAAGGATTTATTTTGTTTGCATCTGTGTGTGTGTGTGTCTGTGGGTTTGTGCATGTATGAGAGCAGTGTCCTCCGAGGCGAGAAGAGGGTGGCAGATTGCAGATCCTCTGCAAGAGCAGCAAGTGTTTTTAACTGCTGAGCCATCTTGCCAGCCTCCAAGAGGCCCAGTTCAGGGCCAGAACTGACTGGAGTCACCCAAGCTGCCGATCTAGGGTTCTCACCAGAGATGGCAAAGCCGCTGAACCCCACTGCCAGAACCAGGAAGGAGATGGCCACGCCCTTGGAGTGGGAGTATCCAACCACCAGCAGCAACGTGGCTTCCATCCCAAAGCCTGTGGAGGGCAGACTCTTGAGTGTGTGCTGTGCCCAACGGGCTGCCCCACCCCAGTTGCCTTCTGTTGGCCTCAGTCAGGCCATCCCTGATGTGCTGCAGGTCTGGCCCCCTTCCACCCCACCAGAGGGAGCCCTACTTTCCCAAGACCCAGTCCTAGGTCCATCCATGCCCATTGGCTCCGACCCAAACAGTCCTTCTTTGCCCCCCCACACACTAGGACATGTTGGGAAGAGGCAGGACCCCACTTGTCTCCCCAGGTCCCCACTCATGTCCCCATTTTCCCTACACATGAACCCATCCTGTCTTCCCAGGTCTCCGTCCACAGCCCCTCTCCCTGCCCAGTTCACTCCCTGCTCCACCAGGCCCCAACAGGCCCCACCCTTGCTTTTTGTCCCCTGGTCACCACCTGGGTCTGGACTCCCCTCCTGCTCTTCCAGAAACTGTTGCACGAGGCGGGAACTCTCCCCTGGCTGGGTCCTGTCAGCCACACCCTTGGCCTACCTTGGACCCTTCCCTCCATGCTCGCCCCCCACACACACACTCACCCCCGCAGTTCATCAGCTTGCGCACATTGGTGGTGGACATGATGCGGCGGCTGCGCAGGAAGTCAGCGATCTGGCCTCCGATGGGCACGATGATAGTCATGACCAGGTGGGGCAGCGCAGACACCAGGCCCACCTGCGGGGAAGCAGGTGCAACCGGTCCTTGGGGGACCCACCCCTCCTCCTCCACCCTGCCTCCGTCACCCCCCTTCCTCCTGGACCCCCACCTTGCTGATCTCAAAGCCAAACACTTCCTCAAAGTAAGCGGGTTGGGAGATGAGGAGCAGGTAGAAGGTCCAGCTGCGGCAAAAGTTGGCCACGATGATGGCGTAGACCGGCATGGACGTGAAGAAGCACCGCCAGGGTGTGTTAAACTTCTACGGGGGGGGGGGGGGGGGGGGGGATGTCTGGGGGGGGGGGGGGAGAGGCTGCTGAGGCTGACACCAGGGTTTGGGGACTTTGTGTCCCTTCAGGGATCCCAGGATAGCCCCCAAAGACTCTGCGGGGATCTAAGCTCACTGAAGTCTCTAGCCGCCTAAGGGCGTTGGCCACATCCTGTCTGCTGGGGAAGAAGGAATCCTTGAACCAAGACACATTTCAGGGATGAGGGACCCAAGGCCCTCAGTTCTCAAGGTTCTGAGCCCCGTGATAACCTGTAAATGTGAGTCTTTCTCTTCAATCACCCGCCTAAGTCTGGCTATGATCATTGAACTGCCTGGCAAAATCTCCAGTTCTAATCCTACCCTGCAGCTTTTAACCAGGCCTCCCACCTCCTTCGCTTCTCTATCTCCAGCATCTGCTATTCCTGTGCTCCATCCAGCCTATGACCAGATGGAGCCCAGCTCTTTTTTTATTTTTCCAGGAGTGGGACTGGAACCCAGAACCTTTGTTGCTGAGCCACACCCCAGCCCCTCAGTGGGGGATCCTAGGCAGGGACTCTACCACTGAGTCATACCCCAGCCCCTCACTTGGGATCCTAGGCAGGGGCTCTACCACTGAGCCACACCCCAGCCCCTCACTGGGGGTTTCTAGACAGGGGCTCTAACACTGAACTGTCAACCAGCTCACTTTTCACTTTTGAAACAAGATCTCAGTAGTTGTCTAGGCTGGCCTTTAAGTCACTGTGTAGCCCAGGTTGACCTCTAGCTTTTGATCTCTCTACCTCAGCCTCCTGAGTAGCTGGGATGACAGACCTGCACCACCATGCTGGATTTAGCCCCAGCTTTTTGTGTGGTGGTCCTATCTCAGAGTCCCTGTGTAGGTTTGAGCTGGCACAGCCCACCCCACCCCAGCCCCTCTGCCTCAGGCCCAGACCGTGACGGGGTTCATGAGTTTGGCGCTCTCTCCAATGGCATCCTCGATGTATTTACGCTCCTCCTCTGAGATGCTGGGGTGCAGTGCCGGGGACTCATAGGACACGAGCAACCAAAAGAGATACCAGAAGATCCCGAAGCTGCCTGAGGGGGTCAGGAGGTAGATGGGAGCAGGGTGACACTGATGGTGCCTGGCCCCAGCACCACCCAGGACCCTGCTAGTCCCTCACCATAGACATAGAAGACAGAGCTCCATCCGGAATACTGCACCAGGACCCCAGCCAGGGGCATGGCCACCACCGCCCCAGCATAGGAGCCTGAGGGGAGGATGTGGGTAGGGAATAGATTAGTGTCTTCCCTGAATCCTGGGGTGTGGACCCTCAGCCCCCCAATCTCAGAGACACAGAAGTGAAGCCCCCAGAACCCCCCTCTCATGCAGTGGCTGGTCCCCAGCCCCTTCCTCTCACCACAAAAGGCCGTCGTTGCCAGGCGACTCCGTTCTAAGGGAGGGGCCCATTTGCTCCAGATGCCGTGGCAGGCAGGATATGTGACCCCCTAGGGAGGGAGCACCAAGGTCAAGGAGAAGAGGTGAGGTCAGAGACCTGAGTGAGGTGTTTGGGATGGGCTTTACCTCCACGAGTCCCTGCAGGATCCTCACAAAGATGACGCAGCCATAGTGGACGCGGGCTGCCGAAGGTATCAGCATGTTCAGGGTAGAGGTAGCCACAATGGCAAAGCCAAAGACCCTGACAGGAAAGGTGGGAGAAAAGGGTCTAGCTAAGCCTGATGGAGTGGGGTGGTCATGTGGTCTTAGCCACTTGGGAGGGGTGTGCTTATGACCCTAGCCGTGCAGGGGCAAGACAGCTAGACCATGTCAGAGGGAAGAAAAGGAGGAGTATAAAAAGCATAAAACTAGAGGCAGGTAGAGCTCTGTGAGTTCGAGGCCAGCCTGGTCTACATAGTGAGTTCCAGGCCAGCTGGGACTGCAGGGAGACCCTGTCTCAAAAATAAAAATATAAAATTAATTAATTAATAGCAAAAACTAAATTTTTTAAAATATAGGGGCTAAGGTAGAAAATACAGGCAGTGTTTTCACAAAGTAACTGTGCAGTGATTTGAAATACAATAAATGAAGGCAATACACAGCCTTCCAATAAAAGATATTTCAAGACTGAAAACAATATATACAGGGGCTGGAGAGATGGCTCAGCGGTTAAGAGCACTGGCTGATCTTGCAGAGGACCCGGGTTCGAATCCCAGCACCCACATGGCAGCTAACAACCGTCAGTAACTCCAGTTCCAGGGTATCTGATGCCCTCTTCTGACCTCCGAGGGCATTGTGTGACATGGGTGCACTTACATATATGCAGGCCATACACATAAAAAATAATAAAATATTTCTAAGACCACAGCCTCCAACGCCACCCACACAGCTGCTGTTTCTGCCCAGCTTGAGACTCCCACCACTGTACCTGTTGGCTGCAAATTTTTGGCAGATAAATCCTCCAGGAATCTGAGTGACAATGTAACCCCAGAAAAAGGAGCCATGTATGAGGCCGACGGTCTCGGGATCCCAGTTGAACTGTGCTTTCTGTGGGCCAAAATGCATGTCAAACTAGCCACCCTGCCCTCCACCAATCAGCACTCAAAGACTTTGCCCGTTAGTCAATCAGCAACAAAGTCCCCCTTGCAGTGCCTTGCATGTTACCAGGGCATGGCCCTACGCTGAGCTACAGCGGCATGTTGCAGCCTAGAACCCTGGTTCTGGTGGCTTATTGCGTCAATGTCCCCTCCCTGAATATCTCAGGGCCCCTGTGTCAGGGTGACTGCCTCCATTTCTAAGCAACTTATGAAAATTGTTTTTGGGCAGACCTGGATGGGGGTCTGGGCAGGGTCAAGAGGCGGCAAAATTAGAAGTGGTCCTGATTAGACAAGGTTTTCAGGTGGGCCAAAGACGAATCAGGCTACTTTTTTCCTCACTCAAGGGCATGGCTTACATCATACCCAACTTAAAATAGTGTAAAACTAGGGGCTGGAGAGATGGCTTAGTGGTAGAGCACTGACTGCTCTTGCAGAAGACCTCAGTTCAGTTCCCAGCACCCACATGGTGGCTAACAACCATCCATAACGCCAGTTCCAGGGGATCCAATGCCCTCTTCTGATCTCCACAGGGATTGCAGGACATGGTGCACTTACACACAAGCAGGCAATACACTCACATACATAAAAAACATAATAAATCAAATACTTTTTTAAAATAGTGTAAATCTGAGCTAAGAGTGTAGGCCAGAATTAACCAGGTGGAACATAACTTGGAGAGAAGAGTGACATCAAATAAATGTGACCCAGGGATATAAATGTGGGGCCTTAGCAAATGAGAAAACCGCAAAACAGAACCAGGTAAGGAGCTCCTGGGGCGCCTAAGGTGAGAAGGGGTCTATGGTTTGCAATAAAGGACCGGAAAGGGGGCGGAGCTTCCCTTAGATCAGGGCGGGGCTTAGGAAGGGGAGGACCCAGGGGTGGGCTCAGAGCTCAAGGCGAGGCCCCCTGGTGGGCGGGGGCTACTGGGCTGTGACGTGAGTGCGTGACGTAACCCAATGGCGTCACAGGACGTGGGCAGGGCTGGCGGGAGCAGCTACCTGCACCACCACGTGGCCCCCGCGGTGGGTCGTGCTGTTGTTGACCATGGACACTATGGCCACGCCCAGGTTGCAGCGGATGCCGAAGCTGATGCAGAAGCCCAGCCCGCTCATGATGGCGATTATGTAGCGACGAGGGAGGCCGAAGCAGGTGCAGTCCAGCACCGGCGGGTCCCTGGGCTGCGCCGTCACCGGGCGGCCGTCGGCGCTCAGCTCCAGAGTCTCGGCGCCTTCCTGCCGTTTCTCCAAGAGCCTGCGGGGCGGCGGGATGCGGGGACTCAGAGGTGCAGACCCCGGACCCGGGTCCCTGGCGGGGGGTGGGGGGGGCTGCGTGGCAAAGCCCTGGAGTCCTGCCCCAAGGGTGTAACCCTGCCATCCTGGGAGGCTGAGGCCAGAGGATCCCGAATACCCTCACTGGGACCCAGCGACCTCTGGAACGCTCTTCACCACCTTCCATCAAGAATCCCGGGTTCAAGTCCCATTTCCCACTTGCTTTGCAAGACCCAGAACTCCATCCTCAAATCTTCCCAGGAGTCCAGGCCCCCAGCTCTTCCTGCCTGGACTCCACTGGGGGGCCAAATCCTCAGCCACCTTCTCCCCAGCACCCCCAGGCGAGGTGTAGACCCCCACACTACGCCTTGGGACCCCAGCCCACCCCACCCCACACACACACCCCGCAAGGCTCCGAGCCTCCCCAGCCCCCTCCGGCAGATGCAGATCTCAGTCTATTCCAGTCAGCAAAGGTGTCAGGGAGCAGATGCTCGGTTATATATATACCGACCCCACCCCCACCCCCGAGGCCTCCCTGCCCCGCTGCCGGGCCCCAGGTGTGGGCCTCTCATCCAGCTGACCCCACGGACCTGGGGGTGGGGACCCTCCCTGGGCATCCCTGGGGAGCCTGGGGTTCAGCCTGCAGCCTAGGGCCAGGGCGGGGGAGTGCCGGCTGGTGTCCTGGCAGGGGACAGATGGCCCTGGTAGGGAGCTTGGCTCATTCCCCAGCGGGACTCTGCCTCCGCCCGACCAGTACCCAGGACTGAGTCTGTGCCCGTGGATAGGGCGCTGGGAGGGCTGGCTTCTAGCTAGGGACAGTCTGTAGGCCTGGAGACAGGTGGGCACAGACCCGGAGACCAGAGGTGGCCAGAGCACAGAGACCACGGAGAGTGCAGAGATAGAGAGACAGAGATACGGGGGGGAGGGCAAGACACAAGAGAGACCCAGAGAGAGAGGGACAGGGACAGAGGCCCAGAGAGTGTGCCAGAGACACGGGGGGGGGGCAGACACTGAGAAAAAGAGAGAGACAGAGAGACACAGACAGAGAGACAGAGGCAGAGAGGGACAGAGACCTAGAGACAGAAAGGGACAGAGACCCAGAGAGAGACAGAGAGACAGAGATTGGGAGAGGAGGGACAGAGAGACTGAGAGAGAGAGACAGACTGAGAGGAGGACAGAGACCCAGAGAAACAGAGACAAGATGAGAGAGAGACCCAGAGACAGAGGCCAAGACTTAAAGAGAGAGACAGAGACCTAGAGAGAGAGGGACAGAGACCCAGAGAGAGAGAGAGAGAGAGAGACCTAGAGACAGAGAATGAGAGACAGAGACCCAGAGACAGAGACTAACAAGAGAGAGAGACCTAGAGAGAGGGACAGAGACCCAGAGAGAGGGACAGAGACTAAGAGAGAGGACAGAGACAGAGACCTAGAGAGATAGGGGCAGAGACAGACCCAAAGAGAAAGAGACCCAGAGACAGGTAGACGGAGTCCTAGAGAGAGAGGTCAGAATTGACACCCAGGAAAAAGACAGATGTGGAGAGAGAACAGAGAGATCCCCCAATGAGGAAGATGGAGACAGTGAGGACAGGTGATCTGGGACCATGAGGTGTGAGGTACAGGGACAGGTGTGTTCAACGTGGCCCCTCTGAGGCGAGTAGACATCCTGGGATCGGGCTGGATCCCAGGATGGGGCGAGAACAGATGGAGGCGAGGGAGACTGGGACGGGGGAGGAAAGTACAGCCAGACGGGCTGCGGGGAGGGAGTGGAGGACTAGAGAACAGCCACCCGCCCATCATGGCACTTAAGGAGGTGGGGAGGGGAGGTAAGAAATGGGGTGGAGGCACATTTAGAAGCCAGGCAGTTGCTGAAACCTGCAATCTCAGTATTTGGGAGGCTGAGGCAGGAAGATGACAAATTTGAGGTCAGTCTGAGCTACAGAATTACACCCTGTCTCCAAAAAACAACAAACAAAAGGGTAGCGATGTAGCTCATCAGAGAAGGCTTGGGTTCCATCCCCAGCACCACATAAACCCAGTGTGGAGGCAGGCTTACACCTGACAATCCCAGCAGTCAAAAGGTGGAGCCAGGAGAATCAGGAGTTCAAGGTCATCCTTGGCTATATAGTAAGTTCAGAGCCAGTCTGGGTTACACGAGACCCTGCCTCAAAAATAAATAAATATGTTGGTGGGTAGAAAGGCAGAGGTACTGTTCACAGTACCCAAGGGCAAGAAAAAACCAACAGGGACAGAGTCGAAGAGAGGGGAATCAAAGCCTGCAGAATGACTAACAGGCTGGCGGGAACCCCCAAATGCACCCCCTCTTCAGAACAGGTTGGCCAATGAGATTAGAGTTTGACCTATGATGTTATCTGATAATATTTGACTCTGACTCTGCAGATAGGAGTGTAGCCTTTGAAATTTGATATTCATTGTTTATATTTGATGTCTCAGACTTCCCTAAGCAAGTCACACAGAGAAATTCAAGTGGGGCCTGGTGCTACATGCCTGTCATCCAAGTGCTGGAAAGGTGGGGCAGGAAGATCAAGAGCTCAAGGCCAGTATCGGCTAGGTAGTCAGTTCGAGGCCAGCTTGGGCTCTATGAACAACTGGCTCAAAATAAACCCTAAAATAACACACAGGCACAGAGATCCCTCTCCTCTCTGGGGTGATGAGGGAAGAGGTGGCAGAGGAGACAGTTACCCAAAACAGAGATAGTGTCTCACTTGCTCCCTCTCAAGCTCTCCGTCCACTCCCTGTGCTTCTGTCCCCCTAAGCCCTGGTGGTTTGCTGGGCCCTTCTGATTGCACAACCAGGAAACTGAGGCTCATGAAGTAGAAATTGCATATCCAGGATCACACAGGGGAACAGCAAGGCGTGTCGGATCCCCTCCTGGCCCCACACAGGACCTGCTTCCCAGAAGCCAGGACCCCTGGCTGTGGCTCTTCTTGTCCTTGTCCCAAGTCATCCTGGGTTACGTGGTCCAAATGAATCCTCCCCTCAGGCTAGCATTTTGATGAACATCTTGAGGCCGGGTTTGAGGGTTGAGAGGGAAAGTGACCTGGGTTTAAATGATGAGTTTGGTCTGCAGCCATTGATGTCACCAGCCATCAAAATGAACCCAGGTCTTTGGGTGTAAATAAATGCCCTGTGTGTGTGTGTGTGTGTGTGTGTGTGTGTGTGTGTGTGTGTGCGTCAACTCCTTGTTGGTCATCCTGGCCAGAGTGCTGAGTTCTGGGGTCCCTGGGAGCACTGGAAACAGCTCAGAGAGGCAAGGCAAGGCTGGAGTCCCAGATGTGTGATGGAGAGGCAGAGACTGAGGAGGGGGCCTGAGGAACACCCCCCTCCTGCCATTGCCCCCCCAGCCCCCTCTGCCAGCTCGGCTCTTTCTCTCTCTCCCTGACTTCACGCTGATGTATTTTGAGAAACTCGTGAAAGGAGGTGAGAAAAAAGGGTGGGGAGGGGCTGGAAATTGGAAAATGGAGGTGAAGCTGTCTCAGCGCTCCCTCCACCACCTCCCCCTCCACTGCACCTTCCTGCCTCCCTCCCTCTGTCCACCTTGTCTCTCTCATGTTACCACAGGGTGGGGTTAACTTTGGAGATAGGAAGTGAGCTACTGCAAACTGGATTAACTTTAGAGTCAGGAAAGGACTCTGGTGGCCAAGTGAGATGGACTGGGGACCATCTAAAGGTGGGCCAGGGCCCTGTGGGGAGGAGGCAGGGTCTGAGGGCACAGTGCCCACAAGGCCATCTCCTCTCCGCACTGTGGACAGATATTTTTAGGCATCTCTAGAGCTGAGTAATTTCTCTGAGTTGGAGCCAAAGCTGGGGTTGGGGGTGAGTGGCTGGAGAAAGGTGGACAGGCTACCTCAAGGGACATTGGGTCACCATAGTCATGGCTCTGAGTGGGAGTTCTAGCCTGTTTCCTTTGCAAAGTCAATCTGATCACCCCCCAAGGCTAATTTGGTTTTGTGGCCTGAAATTCCTTTCTCTCCCCCCCCCCGGAACCTGGGATACCCTGGCTTTTTCCTCCCAGCTTAACCCCCTCACCAAGGACAAGGACCAACAGGCCCCAATCCGCTTTAACTCCAGATTAAACACCCAAGGGACAGAATCTGAGAAAGACTGGGGAGATGGAGAGAGCCAGGCTGGGAAAATGACAAGCCAGAGAAAGGGTCAGAAAGCTAGAGACAGAGACCAAAGAAGAGGGGACCAGAGATCCAGAGAGGGGGAGGCAGGGCAGGAGGCTCAGAGTCAGGACTGATGGAGGTCAGGTGAATCAGAGGGAGGGGGCAGAGAGACAGACAGAGACCCAGAGATAAGCGGGTGGGGGAGACCAGAGAGAGGGCTCAGAGATCTACGTAAGGGGACAGGGACGCAGGTGGACAAAAACCCAGGGAGACAGGTGCACAGTCCCAAAGGAAAAAAAAAGTGCAGCCCAGGGTGGGGTGGGGTGAGCACTGACCACATCAGACGGGGACAGATGGATGGGCCTCCCCACCCCAAGTCAGGGTGTCCCCCGTCTGCTCCCGGGTGGGAAGGGGCGTCCTCGCTCCCGCCCCCCCATTCCCGGTCCTAGGACCCCAACCAGGCTCACCGGTGCAGCCTCCCCAGGGCGCGCCCGGCTAGCTTGCGAAACTCCTCCTGCCGGAACTCCATGGTGGCGGGTCCCCCTGCCGATCCCCCCGCCCGCGGGCCCGGACGGCCGTGTCCGGGATCCCGGGGTCCTCCCCGGCCCGGCCCGGCCCCGCAGCTCCGCTCGGGGGGAACCAGGCTGCGAGTGCCTGCTGCCCGGGGGCTGTCAGGGAACTCAGCTCCAGGGGCGGGGCGGGGCGCGGAAAGCCACGCCCATTCTGGAAGGCCCCGCCCCTTGCAGGCTAGACCCTCCCTGAGCCCCGCTATCTGGGGGCTGTAAAGCCAGATTCAACCTCAGGGGGCGGGGCAGGCCAAGTCCAGCCCTCCAGACCCCGCCCCTTGTGGCCTAGACCCTCCCTCCCCGCAGTCCTCCCATCTTCTTCTAGTCACCTGTCCATCTGAAGGCCACGCCCTTGAATGTGACCCCGAATGGGCCCGAGCCCCACTGCAACCCGGTCCCCGAGTGTCTCTGCGCACTGCACCCTGCCTGATCCTGAGCCGTTTCCCCCATTCCCCATTTGTCTCCCTCAAATTTTATTTTTTTTAAATTTTATTTTATTTTATGTATATTGAATGCGTGAGTTATAGACGGTTGTTAGCTACCATGTTGGTGCTGGGAATCGAACCCGGGTCCTCTGCAAAAGCAGTCAGCTCTCTTAACCCCTGAGGCCTCTCTCCAGCCCTATTTATTTATTTTTTTGCTGTACAGGAGGTGGAAGCCAGAACCTTACACATCCTAGGCATGCGCAGCCCTCTTTTAAGTTTTTACTTGGAGACAGGATATAAGTGGCTCAAGCTGGCCTTGAACTTGTGATCCTCCTTCAGCCTCCGAGTAACTAGAAAGGCAGGCAGCTCTTCACCCACTCGTAAGTTTCCACCACACCCTTTGAGTTCCACCTGTCCTTTGGGTGTATTCCCACCCAGATCCTGAGTTTCAACACCCCCCCAATTCATCCCCTTCGAATTCCACTCCCTACAGTCCCCAATTCTCCCCCTTTGAATCCATTCCCTACAGCCCCCCAATTTCTTCCCATCGAATTCCACTCCCTACAGCCCTCCAGGTCCTTCCCCCTCTCTTGCTCATGGCCCCCCATGTTTCCCTCTCCAGCTTCCTACACCCTGTCAAGCTCCACGGGATCTACACCACTTCTTTGAGATGTGGCCCCATCTGTCGAGTCCTGTCTCCTTCCTTTGAGTTCTGCCCTCTGAAAGTGTCTCCTGTTCTTGTATGCACCGGCTCCGCGTTCTGACCCGGCCCTCTGGGATCTTGCCCTCCCCTCCAGTCTGTCTTCTTCCGGGTCTGCCTGCCCAGACTGCTGCTCGGACCCCGGAATCTGTCCCCGCCCCCTAAGTTCTGTCCCCACCCCTACTTCCCAGCCCCGACCCTGGGGATGGAACCCCGACTCAGGTGTTCCCGCAGCCCCGGCCGAGTGCACCCCCCAGCTCGGTGCAGGTTTCCCGAGTCGAGCTGCAAATGCATTTGGGGTTAAATTTTCTTGGTGCGGCCCGCGAGGGGCAAGAGCTGCAGATGGAGCGGCGGGCGGGCGCCGGGGAGCCGGGAAGCCTGCAGCCGGCCCTGGCTGCGTCGCGGGTCGGACTTCTGCACTGATTGATTGACAGCCCCCCTGGTCCCCGGGGAGGAAGACAAGGGGTACGGGGGCTGGCTGGCTGAGCCGCGCACGTGCGCCACCCTGTGGCTGCAGAGTCCGAGCTGCAAGCGGAGGAGGCGTCCAGGGCTCCGGGCCAGGTGTGAGGGAGGAGCAGATGGTGAAGAGGAGGGAGTGGGAAGGGGGCCCCATCGCTGCCAGATCCCGGGCGGGCGCCCGCACCATCACCATGGCGACGGAGGAAGGAAGAACGCACCCAGCCTCTTGCCTTTTCAGGACCTGGAATCTGGTCCCTCGGTTGCCCACGGAGGGACTTGGTCAGAACTACAAACCCCAGAATCCTTTGCACTCGAGCATCCTGCCTCCCGTGTTTCTGTTTGCGAAGGTCTTCTGGGAGTGGTAGTTCTGAGGCCTCACTGCGTTCACAGGCGGACAAGGCAGGCAGCTTGCTCGCTCCTATTCTGGGGCCAGACAGACATCATTTTAACTTTAAAAAAAAAAAAAAAAAAAAAAGTGCCGGGAGTAGTGTTGCATGCCTTGAATCCCAGCACTCGGGAGGCAGAAGCAGGTGGATATCTGTGAGTTCAAGGCCAGCCTGGTCTACACAGTGAGTTCCAGGACAGCTGGGGACAGCTGGGGCTACAGGGAGCCCCTGTCTCAAAAAGACTAAATAAATAAATAAATAAATAAATAAATAAATAAATAAAAAAAATAGTGTATGAGTGTATTGTCTACATGTCCGAGGAGGACAGAAGAGGGCATCGGAGCTCCTGGAACTGAAGTTATGGTTGTTAGCTGCCATGTCGGTGCTGGGATTCAACCCCGGTCTTCTGCAAGAACTGTCAGTGCTCTTAACCGCTGAGCCATCTCTCCTGTCCCTTTTTTTATTGGAGGGAAGGGTATTTTGAGACTAGATCTCACTATGTTCAGGTGAGCCCGAATTTGTGAGCCTCCTGCCTCAGCCTTTGGAATGTTACAATTGTGTCACCTACTAGACATCTTTCTGGCTTTACTAGAAAGTTATCAGCAGTTGGGTGCAATGTTCTGTTTTTATTATTTATTTATTTATTTAGGGTTTCTTTTTTTTTTTCATCTTTTTGAGACAGGATCTCCCTGTAGCCCCAGCTGGCCTGGAACTCACTATGTAGACCAGACTGGCCTTGAACTCACAGATACCCACCTGCATCTACCTCCTAAGTGCTGGGACTAAAGGCCTATGCCACCATGCCCACCATGCCCAGCACTGAGCATGGGTTCCCCCACCCCCCTGGAGCTGAGGACCGAACCCAGGGCCGAGGGCTTGCTAGGCAAGTGCTCTACCACTGAGCTAAATCCCCAACCCCCCCCCCTTTTTTTTTAAGACAGGGTTATACTATGTAGCCTTGACTGGCCTACAACTCACCATGCAGGCCAAGCTGGTCTTGAACTCAGAGATCCACCTGCCTGCGCCTCCTGAGCGCTGGGACTGAAGCTGTGCATCACCATGCCTGACTTAAAACTACCTGTGTGTGTGTGTGTGTGTGTGATGAGCACAGTGATACCTTTAAAGTTCAGAGGACAACTTGCAGGAGTCCTCTCCTTCCTTGGCAGCAAGCACCTTCAACCCACCAAGTCATCTTGACTGTGGGCGGTGTGGGGAGGGATTGTGTTTTTAATATCTTCAGCTGTTTGTGGCCCTCCTTTCCCGTTACAGGGCCAGGGGGGCAGCTTGCCCCAGAACAGGTCTCAGAGGACACTTAAAACACACTTGGGGCCAAGAGAGTGTGGCAGCCAGTCTTGTGGTTAGGAGTCAGCTCTCAACAAGCACAAACAGCACATTACAATTTACCCATATAATTTATAATACAGCAAGGAGTGTTCTCTAAAAGGGACTGGGGGGAGGAGCCTGGGGTGGCTCCGCTGGCAGGATTTCCCTACTACCACATAAACCAGGCATGGTAGGGCTCGTTTGTAATTCCATCCCGAGAGGTGGAGGCGGGAGGATCGGACATTCGAGGTCTTTGTCCTGTGCTTCATGGCAAGTTCAGGCCAGCCTAGGACACATGAGACCCTTTCTCATGAAAAAAAGATGGTGGTGGTGCTCTGGAGTATAGCTCAATGGTACAGCAGGAAATATATGCTTGGCATTTGAGAGGCACTGGGTTACATCGTCAGCACCCCCCCAAAAAGGGTGGGGGGAGTAGAGTGGAGCATGTCCCCAACAGAGGAGGCATCACAGGTCAGAAGGGGGAGAAAACCATGTTTTTCGTTCCTAGAATTGGGTGTGCCAGTGATGTGATGCCAGACACCAGGAATGGGAAGCTCTGGGGGTGACCATGGATGCACTGCATGAGTTAGGTCAAGAAGCACAAGCCCCCAGCCCCAGAAGGATAGCCACTGCACAGGGAATGGCCAGTTAACTTCCCACTTGACAACCTAGAGAGGTGGGTAACAGGAGGAACCAGAGCCAGGAGAAGCAGTATGTAGTGTGGCTGCTGGACCCCAGTCAGGGAAGAGTCGTGTAGGCAGGAAGCGGCCAAAGAGCCCAGGGGCCCGGACCTTCTCCTAGGGACAATGGAGGAGAGGGAAAGGAACAGAGCAGTGTCAACACTGGGCCCAGGGGGAATCCAGAAGGCCAGGGGAAGCCAGGGTGCTCAGGGAAAGGATGAGCCCTAAGCAGGGGAAGACTGGAGGAGATTTGACAAACAGAGCCAGTGTCTCTGTGTCTCTGCCCTTCCACCCCCCAGGTTTCCATATTTGAAGGCAGAACAACTACAAAGCTCTTTTATTTCATTTTCAGAGACACTGTCAACCTCTTCTCCAGTTTGGAAATACAGAGACTCTGGTCAGGATCAGACTGACAGGAGGGGCATAGACACCATCAGCTGCTAAGAGGAAAGAGAGAGAGGACTAAGGACCAGGGTCACAACTCGGCCTCCTCCCTCAGACCCAGGGGGCCAGCCCCCCATGTCCTAGCCTTCCTGAAGGCCCCTCCAAGTACCCTTCTCCTGTGGTGGAAAGCAGCCCTGCTGTCCTCAACATTGATCCTCAGGGGAATGGAGGCATCTAGGTGATACAGTGCCTGAGGTGCCCCTATCACCAGGCGGTTCTCTCCAATCTCCAGCGACAGCCCTTGGGCTCCACTCTGGGGATGAGATGAGTCAGTCTACCTTTCTACCTTCCCCAGGATAGTGGCCTCAAGCATGGGGAAGCCATGTTTACACAATCACAAAATGCATGGTTGTGGCTTTAATCTACAGCTTTAAAAAAAAAGGAAGGGTAGTAATCACAAGTCTCAATAAACTCAGAACAGCGGAGACGGTACCTGTTCATTTCCTGGTCTGGGAGAGGCCGATTATTCAGGTCTTAGGACAGCCCCACATCACTGCCCCAAGAGACATATCCCAGACCCAGCCTCCTCCCTCAGACCCAGGGATCCAGACCCCAGCCCTCCTCCCTCAGACCCAGGAGTCCTCCCCAGCCTCCTCCCTCACACCCAGGGATCCTCTCAGCCTCTTCCATCAGACCCAGGGGTCCTCCCCAGCCTCCTCCCTCAGACCCAGGGATCCAGACCCCAGCCTCTTCCTTCTAGGGGTCCTCCCCAGGCCCCTCCCTCACACCCAGGGATCCAGACCCCAGCCTCTTCCCTCAGACCCAGGGGTCCTCCCCAGCCTCTTCCCTCAGACCCAGGGATCCTCCCAGCCTCCTCCCTCAGACCCAGGGATCCTCCCAGCCTCTTCCATCAGACCCAGGGGTCCTCCCCAGCCTCCTCCCTCAGACCCAGGGATCCTCCCCAGGCTCCTCACTCAGACCCAGAGGTCCTCCCCAGCCTCCTCCCTCGCCTCCTCCCTAGCCTCCTCCCTCAGACCCAGGGTGCAGACCCCAGCTCTCTTCCCTGACTGGAAGGAGTATCTGCACTTACCACCCTGGGGAGGTCGACCTCAGCCAACAGTAGGTCAGGGGCTTCCAACCAGAGTTTCCAGTGAGGCCGCTCTGGGCTGAAGTGGGAGAGGGAAGATGGGCAGGACTGAGAGTGGCCATCCCGTCCTCGCCACATTGGTCTTTGCCCGCTCAGTGCCCTCTGCTTGACTTGGCTTCTCTCTCCCTCCACCCAGCCCTGTGTTTCAATCCCATCTTTCTTATCCCTGATTCTGCAGAACCCGAGGACAGTCATTAGCCTGGAGATTCCCCAAGCCTCACCAGGCCTCAGTCCCCAGAGGACTGTGTGCATCTGGGGTTCCCAGCTCCTGAATCCGAGGGCATTGCTGGGAGCGGATGTTCTGCTGGGCAATGGAGCCCAGGAAAGGCCGGTTCTTCAACATGCGCCATTCTGAGGGTGCAGAGGCGAAGGTGGTTGAGGTGAGGTCATTTCTGTTCTCAGGGGGTCCCATTCAGCCTAGAGAGGCTCTGTTCCCTTCCTGGACACCCTGGGTCTGACCACTGCAAGCCTGGTCCTGGGGCAGCTGCCCAGGGAGAGGACCCTGGCCCCAGCCCAACCCCTCCTGGGAGGGTGGTTAAGGGAAACCCTGGCTGTACTCGTCCAGCCCATGTGTGACACCAAGCCATTCCCACTGCCCTCTTGGCCCTCACCTGGATTTAGCTGTAAACCATACTTGTCCTCAAGGCCCTCCCTGGCAATAGTGACGACGAGCTCCCGCAAGAAATCACTGTTCTGGGTGACGGCGAGAAGAAACACAGTGGGGTGAGTGGTGGACCGGAGGAGCCACCCAGTCTAGGCCTCACCCACAGCCCACCTCACACCTGCATCCTCTGGTAAAAGTCACTGTTGACTGCAACGTCATAGGCAGTACAGCCCTGGCCTTCTGCAGGAAGAAAGAGAGAGTAAGACTCCCCATGCTGCAGAGGGACACACACAATGAAAATCCACCCAAGGACCAAAGACCAGAGATCCAGCAACTAAGAGCCCAGCACACACTTTCCACCGGACTCATGCCAGCTCCTCCTCGGCTTTCAGGCTGACCTCCAGGCTGCTGACTGCATCCCCAAGGCAGACCCTGCCCCTCCATAGCACTTCTGCAAATCTCCTAGCTCTGTCCTCCCACCTCTGGGAACACAGTCATTTCCCTAGACTCTGTCCATCCACACCTTCTTCAGTCACTCCTGACTGCTGCTCCATCCAATAGAGTCACTGTATCCCCAGATCTGAGCCCCTGTGTCCATTTCTGTTTTGTTGAGACAGGGTCTTACTATGCATCCCAGGCTGGCCTTCAATTCATGGCAATCCTCCTGCCTCAGCCTCCTAAGTGCTGAGACTCTTAAGGGTGAGCCACCACACCTGGCTCCCCGTCCCCTGCCTAGAACCCCATCTGTCTCTGCCTGATCAGCTCCAGGCCTTCAAATCTTATATCCAGGCAGCCTTCCCCAAAGCCTTCTTCAACCTCACTGAGGAGCCCCTGGGGCACGCCCTCTCCACATCTGAATCACCCAGACTGAAATTGCCTCTGGGCCTGCCACCCATGACTGGGAGCTGTCAAGGAAAAAGGGACCTCGAGGGGACAGATTCCAGGTCTTCTGAGGGCACTGACTTGCATCCAGCTCAGCATGTGGCTCTCCCAGGCTCATGGGGATGCGGAAGCCAGCTTGGTCCTCCTCCAGCATCTGAAGTAGTTCGTCCTCAGTCACGTCCACCGGGGGAGGGATGGAGGGAGAGTGGCAGATGTTGATGAAAACCTTCCCTTCCGATGAGTTGGTCTTTATGCAGAAACCTGGGTGAGTGGGTTTATCTTGGCCATCTGTCCCTGAGCAGTTTTTATATCAGACATCCTCTCCAACCATCCTCCCTTCCAGACACTGGGTCTCACTCTGTAGCCCAGACTTGGGATCCTCTTGCCTCTGGACTGCTGAGCTCATAGGCATGAGCCATCGCACCCAACTTCTTTTTTGAGGGGGAGGAGAGGCAAGGTCTCACTATGTAGCTCTGGATGGCCTAGAATCCACTATGTAGACCAAGCTAGCTTCAAACTCACAAAGATCTGTCTGCGTTTGCCTCCTAGGTGCTGGGATGAAAGTCCTGTACCACCGTGCCTGGATTTTTTTTTAAGACTTGTTATTTCTAATTATGTGCTTTGTGTGTATGCACGTGTGTATGTGTAGGGATGTGTGTGCACTCAGGTCCTCTGCAAAGCAGGATATGCTCTTAACCACCGAGCCATCTCTACAATCCTTTTTTTTTTTTTTTGAGACAGGGTCTCCCCATAGCCCCAGCTGACCTAGAACTATGTAGAACAGGCTGGCCTCAATCTCACAAAGATCTGCTTGCCTCTGTCTCCAAAATATTGGGATTAAAGACATGAGCTACCATGCCCAGCCCTCCCTCCTTTTATTTTTTATTTATTTATTCTTTTTTTTGTTTTGCTCTTTTAGAGACAGGGTCTCCCTGTAGCCCCAGCTGTCCTAGATTCACCATGAAGACCAGGCTGGCCTCAAACTCACAGAGATCCGCCTGCCTCTGCCTCCTGTGTGCTGGGATTAAAGGTGTGTACCACCACGGCCAGCTATTTATTTATTTTTATTTGATGTGTATGAGTGTACTGCCTGGACGTATGTAAGTGCACCTGTGTCATTCAATGCCTGTGTAGGTCAGAAGAGGATGTCAAATCCTCAGGAACTGTAGTTACTAATGGTTATTAGTGGCTTGGTGGGTGCTGGGGATTGAACCCAGTCCACTTCAAGAGCACCAAGTGTTCTTAACTGCTGAGCCACCTCTCCAGTCCCACTTCCCTCCTTTTTTTTAAAAAAAAATTTATTACATTTATCTAGCACGCGCATGCGTGCGTGCGTGTGTGTGTGTGTGTGTGTGTGTGTGTGTGTGTGCTTGCCACAGCTCAAGTGTGTGAAAGTCAGAGGACAACTTGCAGGAGTCAGTTCTCTCCTTCCACTATGTTGATCCCAGGCTTGGAACTCAGGTCATCGGGCTTGGCAGCAAACAACTTTAGATGCTGAGCTATCTTGCTGGCTCTTCTTTCCTCTTTCGCCCTGTCCTTCTGCTGGGCCTCCGACTGCCCTTGTTCTGTTCCCCTCTTTTCCCTCAGGCCCTTGACCCTCTTTCCTACCGTGAATCTCCATCCTCTTCCCCACTCTGACTTCGTCTTCTGCATTCTGTGGGTCTCTATCGGTAGGTGATCCTCCTGGGATTTGCTCACATAACTACTCCCTGGCTTTTGCATCCAGCTCTTGTCTCTCTCCTTCCTCCTCTGTGTCTCCTACTCCAGTTTGTACTGACCCTCTCTGGGTCTCCCTTCCTCTCTCTATCCCTCTCCCTCTATGTCTTTCTCACCAGGCTGGGGCTGGATCTGAGTAGACTCTGGCCTGGCTGTCTGGGCTTGTTGGAGCTCTTTGGAAGCCTGTGAAGGAAAACAAAAAACAAAACACAGGGGCTGGAGAGATGGCTCAGCAGTTAAGAGCACTGACAGCTTTTACAGAGGACCTGGGTTTGGTTCCCAGCACCCACATGGCTGCTAACAACCATCCGTTACTCCAGTTCCAGGGAGTCTAATGCTCTCTTCTGACCTCCACAGGCACTGCACGACACAGGTGCACTTACACACATGCAGGCAATACACCTGTACATATAAAAAATAAAATAGATAAAATATTTAAAAACAGAAAACAGGCCGGGCGTGGTAGCACACACCTTTAATCCCAGCACTTGGGAGGCAGAGGCAGGCGGATCTCTGTGAGTTCAAGGCCAGCCTGGGCTACAAACTGAGTTCCAGGACAGCTGGGGCTACAGGGAGACCTTGTCTCAAAAAGACCCCCCCCCCCCAAAAAAAAAACCAAACAAACAAAAAAACAAAACCCAGTCTACCAGGAGCCGTCCGTGCAGACTCCTCATTTGCTTCTCAAATGACAACAGAACAATTCATACATGACAGCCGTGGATCACATGTAAAATTGTATATTCTAGACTCTAAGTCCTCCTTCCTCTTTTCAGGACTCCTAAGGGCAACCCTCACCCATTTTATCACTTAACAAACCTTGAGCCAAGCAACTACAATTACCATCGGCCACCTGGCCCAAGGGCATGCTGGGAACTGTAGTCGCCTCTCTGAGCGCCGTTACGTGCTTTCTAGTACCCAGGCAGCCCGCACCTGCAACAGCAACTCCTCGAAACGCACCGACTCGCCGCCCATGGTCTCGGCACCGCTCAACTCTGGGGTCAGCAGCGTCGAGTCCGCCATGGCCCGAGAGGAAGTGCGGGGCGGCCTCAGCGCCCTCGACGTGACGTATCCCGGATAAACGAAGCGGGTCTGAAGGCTCCGGGGCCTCAGTCGAGTCCCAACATCCACAAACCGACTATTTGTTCAGGGAATAGTCTACGGGTCCATCATAGTACAAACACCGTCCTCGGATCTGCGGGGAACAAGCATCCCCAGCCGCAGTCCCGCTCCTATTCGGCCAATGCGTAAATGAAGCTACACTTCCGGTCTCTGTGTCACAAAGAAGCCAAAATTGGCCACACTTCCACCAATCTGACTATTCACATTAGGAAGCTGAAGCCACGCCCCTTGATTCACCCAATCAAAACTAGGCAATGCGTAGGCCCGTTCAATGCCACACTTCCTGAAGCTGGGAAGACACATTTCTGCCCTTCCTTAGCAACTGTTGCAGACATGGTGGCGGTCAGGTTCAGAACTTAAGTCTCGGGCTGGGGATGTAGCTCTGTGGTGGAGTGCTTGCAAAGCATGCACGAGGCCCCGCGACCCGTCCCATCCCATCACAACACACATAAATCTTTACTCGCAATTCCTTTAAAAGCTATTATGGCCGGGTGTGGTGGCGCATGCCTTTAATCCCAACACTTGGGAGGCAAAGGCAGGGGATCTCTGTAAGCTCAAGGCCAACGTGGTCTACATAGAGAGTTCTAAACCAGCTGGAGCTACAAGGAGAGAAAAAAAGAAAGAAAGAAAGAAAGAAAGAGAGAGAGAGAGAGAGAGAGAGAGAGAGAGAGGACGGGAGGGAGGGAGGGGGGAGGGAGGAAGAAGGAAGGAAGGAAGGAAGGAAGGAAGGAAGGAAGGAAGGAAGGAAAGAAAAAATATATATATTAAGTGCATCCGTGTCTTGTAATGCTCTCAGAGGATGTCATAAGAGGGCGTCAGATCCTCCTGGAACTGGAGTCGCAGATGGTTGTTAGCTGACATGTGGGTGCTGGGACTCAAACCTAAGTCCTTTGGAAGAACACCAAGTGTTCTTAAGCCATCTCCCCAGCCCCCTCAGTGCCTTTTATGAACAAAATGGTGTTGTAATTTTAAAAAAAAAGTTGCTTTTTGACCTTTGACCTATCATTGTGATCCAACGCCAGCTCCTGATCCCTAATGTATTTTAGTCTAAAATCTGCACTTCCTGCATTCCTTTTTTTTTCAATGTAGCAAAGCGTCAAGGATTAATTTTAATTTTTTTCGATTTTTAAAAATATTTCATTGTGGGGCTGGAGAGATGGCTCGGTGATTGAGAACACTGGCTGCTCTTGCAGAAGACCTGGGACTGTTATTTTTATTTTATGTGTATGCATGTATTACCTGCATGTGTGTAAGTGCACCCATATCATACAATGCCAGCAGCGGTCAGAGGAGGGTGTCAGACTCCGCTGGAACTGGAGTTACAGACGGTTGTTAGCAGTCACGTGGGTGCTGGGAATGGAACCCGGGTCTTCTGCAAGAGCAGCCAGTGCTCTTAACAGCTGAACCAGCTTTCCAGCCCCAAGAATAAATTAGAAAATAAAAATAAAATAGAAAAAAAATTTTAATTTTGGTGGTCCAGTGAGCTGGAGCTGTGGTCTCCTCCTGGGAGCTGGAGCTGTGATTCTCTCCTATGAGCTGGAATTGTGGTTCCCCTCCTGTGAACTGGAGCTGAGATTCCCCACCTGTGATCTGGAGCTATTGCCCTCCCCCAGATGTAACTGTGGTACCCTCATAATAATAATCACATTATCCATATCATCATAATAATATGGACTCCCAGTCCCAGGAGGGATGAGCGGAATGAACTGTGCTGGGTCAGGGGCTCACCCACTGATGAAGATTAACGCATCTTTCAAAACTCTCACTGGAGAAGTTTCCTTACACAGCAGAAGGTGACTGACACAGAAATTTACGCTTTCTAATGTGTCGGAAGGGACATCACTAGTCATTGGCGGAAACACGCCCGCTATCCCCGGAGCCACGCCCTCCCCGCGTCGGCCCCGCCCAGTCCCTCGGGCAGGAATGGGCGGTGCCGCCCTTCGGACTTCCACGTTCCCCTCGGACGAGGGCCGGTCAGTCATTCACGGAAGGCGATTTGGCGAGCGATGGCGGCGACAGGCGTGGGGTCCCGCGCCCGTGACATCTTCACGGCGCTGGAGTACGGACCCGTGCCGGAGAGCCACGCATGCGCACTGGTAAGCCTGCTCTGTCGGCCCTTAAATCTCGCGGCCTCGGGTGGTGCGCGGCCTCCCGTGATCCCCCACGGCATTGCGGGCTGCTCCGCCCTCGGTCAGGTGATCCCCCCACCCAGCCCTCGGCCTGGTCCGGGAATCTTTCCCGAGATCCTCGTGGCTGCAGTACGGGGTCCGCTGTGGCGTTTTTATCAGAGTCCCGCGGCAGCGGCCGGTGGACTCCTGTGATCCTCCGCCGCGCGAGCTCCCGTGATTTCCGGCTTAGATCCTCTTCCTGTTTTTACTTAGCATTACAAATGTAGCGGGTTTCCTTGTGAGCTTTTTCATAAGTGTGATCCTCCTCAGGCCTCCCGCCCTGGACTTCAGAACGTGTTTAGGACTCCCTCTTAGGGATTTAATGATGTATGACCCCACCTTCCCACCTAGGGATCTAATGGTCCCCTCTTAGGGATCTAATGAATTCCACTTAGGGAATCTAATGATCCCACTTAGGGATCTCATATTAGTGGCTATTAGTAGGGTGCCTGGCATTTTCTGTCATCCCTAAGGGCTCATAGAACGTCCTGCAGCTCCCATGATCCCACAGAATCCTCCAGCACCCAGGTAGGTGCTGTAAAGGTTTGGAGAGATGGCCACGTGGAAGTCTTTGGCGATGGCGCAGCTCCACATAGGGTGACACGGAAGCAGTGGAGAGCTGAACTGGAGGGTTGAGAGGCTGCACCCACCCTCATGGCTGTCCCTGCATGGAGTCCGGGATGGAATGGAGGAAAGACACTGAACTCTGATGACATCCAGTGTGAGAGCCCTGGAGAAAGCCATAGTGAGGTGCAGGAGTCTGTTGCTTGGGCCTGTGCCTAAGGACCAACGATTGCATTGGAGATACAGACTGGACTATAGGGTGGCTAGTGATATAGACTGGTGAGAGGACTGGGACAGTTCAGAGGATCCATTCACGGATGGAGGCTGTTTAGAAGTGGATGATAGCTGGGCTGATGCCTCTGTGCTAAGCATGAGCATACCTAATCCCTAGAACAGTTGGGAGGGGACTGTGACCTTTTTATTTTTGATCTTTTTGAGACAGGGTCTCTCTGTATCCCCAGCTCACCTGGAACTCACTGTGTAGACCAGGCTGGCCTTGAACTCACAGAGATTCACCTGCTTCTGCCTCCCGAGTGCTGGGATTAAAGGCCTTTGCCACCATGCTTGGTTTTTATAAGTTTTTTGTTATTTTATGTGTATGAATGTTTGCCTACATGTATGTAAATGCACAATAGGCAGTGCTCATGGATGCCACAAGAGGGCACCTGATCTCTGGGAACTGGAGTTGCAGGTGTGGGTGCTGGGAATTGAACCCGGGTCCTCTGCAAGAGCAGCCAGTACCCTTAACCGCTGAGCCATCTCTTCATCCTAGTTGTCATTATTTTAGTGACAGAACATAGGGTCAGTGCGGTAACTAATCTTGCCCACAGTGTTCATAGCTTAAAAGAAGTGGAGTCTGAACACAGCTGCACATGCCTGTAATCCCAGCCAGGAAGGCTGGGGCAGAAGAATCTGAATTCCAAATCAGCCCAATGTACATAGCTACACATTGTCTCAAAAAGAGAGACAGACAGAAAGGGTGGGAGAGGAGGTTTGAACTTGAGTCCTTGGAGTCTAGACCCATCATCTGCCCCGTCCCCCAGCAAATGCCTCAAGCTTATAGTCTATGGACCAGACTCAACCAGCAAACATGTTTCCTTTGGCTTGAACTTTGTTTTCAAGAATGTCAATTATTGGACAATTAATTCCATCTAAACATCCTGAACTCTAACTTCTCCTGAAAATAAAATTCCAAAGTTTGGCAACCTTTTGGCTCCAGTTCCCTGACAAAACTCATCTGGAAGCAGTTGTCATGGCAGCTTTCAGCGTTTCAAGTGCCCAGTATCCAACAGGCACACTCCTACCTCTGTGGCCTTCCAGGACCCTCGAGACACTCAGGAATTTGTTTTTCCTTTTGGAGGGAAAGTTTCCATCTTTTACACAGTACTCTGTGCTAAGAACCCCCAAGTACTGAACAATCAACATTCAGTCCCCCGGTCCCTCTGTGTTCTCTTTTCTTTCAAGAGTAGTTTAAACAAATTCCAGCTGTTGTGCCATTTTCCCATAAATATTTGAGTCTTTATTTGTAACAGACAAGGACTGATTTTGTTACTCAACTAGCACACCATTCATCACATCTCACAGCATTCACTGTCATCCAATAGCATCTAATACTCAGCTCATGTCCGCATGGCCCCATTTCCCAAATGCCTTTGTCCCTAGGAGTATTCCAGTTTGGAATTTTTGGGTGACAATTCTTATTTGAGATTTACTTATGTATAGTTATGTCTGTCTGTGTGGAGAGGGATGTGCACATGGTGCAGAAGAAACCAGAACAGGGCATTGAATCCCCTGGAGCTGAAGTTACAGGCAGTTGTGAGCTGCCTGCATAGGGCTGGGAACTGAACTCTGCTCCTTTCAGAAGCAATATGCACTCTTAAGCAGTGGGCCATCTCTCCGTGTCCCCCTCCCTTATTTTGAGACAAAGTCTAGTGTATTCCAGGTTGCCCTCAAACTCAATATGTAGCCAAAGATGACCTTGAGCTTCCAGATCCTCCTGTCTACCTCCCAAGTGCTGGGGTTACAGGCATGTACTAGCCTGCCTTTATGGGAGATGGGGGGTGGTCAGAGGACACCCCTGCTGTGGTTCCTCAGGCTACATCATCATTTTTCCTTTGAGTCAGGGTCTCTCCCAAAGCTGGAACTCGCCAAGTCAACGAGGCTGTCTGGCCCTTGAGTCCCAGGTATCCTCCTATCCCACATTCTGAACACTGTGGTTACAAATATGTGTTACCACAGCCCACTATTTTCCATGGGTCTTGGGGATCAAACTCAGGCCCTTGTGACTGCAAGGCCAGCACTTTGCCGACTGAGCTGCCTCCCCACCCCCACCCCCACGCATGTTGTTTGTTTGCTTGTTTGTTTTGTGGGACTTTTTGGAACTTTTGTTGTTGTTTTTGAGACAAGGTCATGCTGTGTAGCCCAGGCTGGCCTTGAATTCATGGTGATCCTCTTGCGGCAGTGTCCCATGTGTTGGAAGTACAGACATGTACCACCACACCTGACCCATTTTACTGAAAAGAAGTGAGAGTGCCAGTTGTGGAGAGAAGGTAAAAGCAGCAGAAAGAGGGAAGTGGCAGTTGGATTTCACAACAGCAAAAACTGGGGGATCAGAGGGGGTGCGAGCGAGCTAGCAGTGTGGTGGGGTGTACAGGGACAGCGGGATGGAGTGAAGGCAGCCCAGGTGCTGAAGCCACTCCGCCTCATGCGTTGGCTGTTCACATTCATTTGCTCATCACCCAGCCTGAGGAGCAGGAGGCTGTGATTGGCCCTGTGTTCTAGATGACTTAGCAGAAGCAGAGTATTGTAAAGCCATGGCTGAGGTTAGCCCTGACTGAGCTTATATGTTATGGGGCTGGAGAGATGGCTTAATGGGTAAAGTGCCTGCTGCACAAGCGTGAGGACCCGAGATCAGATCCTCTGCACCCAAGTGAAAATGCAGCACAACCTGTTGTGGTGCACACCTTGAACCCCAGCACTTGGGCAGCAGAGGCAGGCGAATCTCTGAGTTCCAAGCCAGCCTGAGCTACATAGCAAGTTCCAGGCCAGCCAGGGCTGCATAACAAAACCTTGTCAAAACAAACAAGAAATAAGGTAGAGAGCAGTTAGGAAGACACCTGATGTCAACCTTTGACCTTTTCACACGGGCACACACGCAAACATGCACACACACAGTCATGTACACACACATTACAGATTAGGTAAATAGCAGAGGAAAAACTCAAACCTAGGCCACCTGGTGGGTAACCAGGACTCCAGCTGAGACCTTACCTGTGCAACAAGTATATAGCAGGCCAGGCACAGACCCCACAGCCTGGTGACTTGCACAGGGCCAGGCTCAGACCCCACGGCCTGGTGACTTGCACAGGGCCAGGCTCAGACCCCACGGCCTGGTGACTTGCACAGGGCCAGGCTCAGACCCCACGGCCTGGTGACTTGCACAGGGCCAGGCTCAGACCCCACGGCCTGGTGACTTGCACAGGGCCAGGCAGCACTGGGCCTCTTGGGTCCTCATTGTTCCCCTGGTGACAGCAGCTGCTGAGAGAGAACAGGGTGGCATGGGTGCTGCAGTTGCTTGCAGACTGGGCACATGCCCTGTTCCAGTGCTTCCGGAAGTCTCCCTGAAGTCCTGCACACTAGCCTTCTTCTGGCTGCTGATGCCCGAACTAGTCTGAGGTCAATGTCGCCTGATGACCCAGCTGAGGACTAGGTTGCAATTCAGCAGTAGAACACTTCTCTAGCCTGCTTACAGCCCTGGGTTCCATCCCAGCATTTCAGAAAAATCACCACAGCTGAATTTGTTCTCAGGGAAAAAAAGTTAACTTAAGGTCATATCTCTATGGAAGAGAAAGAGTTTTATTAACCTTTTCTTTCAGTTCTCCATATTTAAACCAAGCATGGTGGTGCATACATGTAATCTCAGCACTCGGGAAGCAGAGCAGACAGATCCCTGAATTTGAGGCTAGCCTGATCTGTGAAGTGAGTTCCAGGCCAGCTGGCGCTACAGGGAGACTCTGTCTCAAGAAACCACCATCACCAAAACAAACAAACAAATAAAAGAACCAGAAGTCAGATCCAAGATCTTGGTATGTAGCCAGGCTGGCCTCAGACTTAACAGTCTCGCCTCAGCCTGCAGAATTCCTGGACTATAGGCTGTGGCACCAAGACTAGCTAATACAGTGACAGTGAATTTTAGATGTATTTTAGCTGCAGTAAAAATTGTAGTAGGGGCTGGGGGTATAGTTCAGTAGAGCCCACGGCCCTGGGTTCAATCCCCAGCACAAAAATAAAAGATAGAAAACAAGAGGAAAAGAGTGAGCTGAGAGCAGTGTGCAGATGTCTCCTCCCAGAGGACTCTGGGAAGGATTGAGCTGTCACAGCTGCCTCAGGCGTTCTTCCAAGCTCCTTTCCTCCCGCAGGCCTGGCTGGACACCCACAACCGCCTCCTGGGCCACTATGTCGGTGGAGAGTGGCTGAAGCCAGAGCACAGGAATGCAGTGTCTTGCCGGGACCCCATCACAGGTTTGAGAGGACCCAGTCACCAGGGGAGGGGAGAGGCCTCTCTGAGAGTCAGCCGTGTTCCTGAGGGCAGAAGCACATGTGCTGGGAGAGAGGCTGAGACCCCTTGTCTCTCCTGATAACAGTCATGCAAAGTGTGGGTCTCCCCCAAGATGTTTAAAGTCCCTGTCTCCTAAATCCCTTCCTTCAGTGGGGTGCAGCAGCTCATACCTCTAATTCCAGCATTCCTGAGGCAGAAGCAGGAAGATCATGAGTTTGAAGCCAGGCTGCCCTACAGTGTGAGCCCCAGGCCAGCCTTGGCTATATAGTGAGGCCCTGTTTCAAAAAAAGAAAAAGAAAGAGGAATAAAATGGTAGTTCAGTGGTCAAGGCTGAGGGCACATCCTACTCTGGCAGAGAACCAGAAGCCAGTCCCCAGCATCCATATCAGGTGGCTCATTATCCTGCAACTCCAGGGGATCCAGTGCCCTCTTCTGGCGTCCACAGCACCTGCACTAACATGCACATCCCCACACACAAACGCTTAGGCGCGCACATAATTTAAGATAAAATAAATTTGAAAAAGCAAGAAAGGAGGGAGGGAGGGAAGAAGACAGATAGCAAGAGAAAACCTGCCCTGCCTGTGGGACCTGTCAGCAGTGCAGTGGTTAAAGAGGGGTGGGAGGAAGGGAGGCCCTGACACTCAGAGGGGACCGGGACCACCTTCCTGCTTAGGTCTATACCTGGGTTTCAGAAATCTCGGCCCTCAGCAGTCCTGGCATGGACCCCACACCCAGGCCCCCTCATCTCCCCAGGAGAAAACCTGGCCAACTGCCTGCAGGCGCAGGGAGAGGATGTGGCTGCAGCTGTGGAGGCAGCGAGGACAGCTTTCAAAGCCTGGAGCCAACTCCCTGGAGCCACTCGGGCCCGATACCTAACCCAGTGAGTTAGCCCAGTGAGGCTGGAGAGGTAGAGAGGAGGGGATAGGTCATGTCCTCCAGCATCCACAGGAGACTGCGGAAATGGTGACTCAAGTTCCCAAGATCTCCCTGAATGATAGGCTCATGTTCCCAGCAGGCACTGGGGGCTTTTGAAGCCAGAACAGCCTGAACTCTCAGAGCTCACTGGGACTGGTGGTATTAATACAATGAGGGCTCCATTTCTCAGGATTGGGCTCCCAGCTTCCCAGCACACTTTGGTTACAGCTAGAGATGAAGATTCCAATTTCCAAATTGCAGTTAGATTACAGGCTAAGACTCAAGTTCCCAGTATCTTTGGATTGTCTGGTGATTAGTGACCAGAACCATTCTGTAACATCCCAGCATCTCCGAAACTACATTTGAGCATTTCCTGTACATCTTTGATACCTGCTGTCCCTGTAGATTGTGGTCTGCCTGGGGCTCCTGGGGACTGCAGTCCAGGTTGTCCTGGTCAAGAGCCAGTGCTTTGTCTTCTCCAAAGACTAGCCAAGGTGATCCTGATGCATCAGCGCCTGCTATGGACCCTGGAGTCCCTGGTCACTGGGCGAGCTGTTCGAGAAGTTCGAGACGGAGATGTCCCCCTGGCCCAGCAGCTGCTTCAGTACCATGCAGTCCAAGCACATGCCCAAGAGAAGGCGCTGGCAGGCTGGGAGCCCAGGGGTGAGCACCTTGGGTCCCAGCAGACCGCCCCCTCCTGACGTATCACACCAGCTGTTCCCCTGACTCCTTGCTGGCAGGCTGGGAGCCCAGGGGTGAGCACCTGAGGTCCCGGCAGATTTCCCCCCTCCTTGACGTGTCACGCCAGCTGTTTTCCTTATAGGAGTCATTGGCCTTATCCTGTCACCCCCATTCTCCTTCCTGGACATGATGTGGAGGGTGTGCCCTGCCTTGGCTATGGGTAGGTGAGGGCTGAGGTCCCCTCCTGCCTCTCAGAGAGGAGGTCTGGTGTCAGTGCACCCAATTCTGAGGTGGGGGGGGCTGGGCCTGGACCCCTGGGTGTGAGGGAGGAGGGCTGCAGACAACACTCAAGGGTTTCTGAGTTGTTCCTCTCCCCAGGTTGTACTGTAGTGGCCCTTGTGCCCCCAGCCTCCCCAACACCTCTCCTCCTCGCCCAGCTGGCGGGGGAGCTCAGCCCCGTCCCAGGAATCCTCAATGTGATGTGTGGCCCTGCCTTACTGGGACCTGCTCTGGCCTCCGAACCTGGAGTCCAGAAAGTGGCCTTTTGTGGAGCTGTGGAGGTATCTTCAGGGGTGGGGTGGGATGGGACACTGTGGAGGGCAAGGAAGTCCCTGTCTCAGCTGAACATGTGAGGTTCTCTCAGGAAGGACAGGCCCTACGAAGGACCCTGGCAGGCAAGGGGGCTGAGCTGGGCCTGGCCCTGGGCACAGAGTCGCTGCTGCTGCTGACGGACTCAGCAGATGTGGACTCCGCTGTGGAAGGCATCGTGGATGCGGCCTGGTCAGACCGCAGCCCGGTGAGACCCGTGTGTTCATGTCCCCATGTCCAGGGCCACGTCTCTCTGAAGACCATGTGTTCACATCCCCACGTCCAGGGCCACGTCTCTCTAAACACTGTGTGTTCACGTCCCCACGTCCAGGGCCACATCTCTCTAAACACTGTGTGTTCACGTCCCCACGTCCAGGGCCACATCTCTCTAATCACTGTGTGTTCATGTCCCCACGTCCAGGGCCACATCTCTCTGAAAACCAGGGGTTTCATTCCCGTTAACCTTGACTTGCTCTTCTTTGGATCTTTTTTTGCTTTGTGTACCATGTCTCGTGTAGCCCAAGGGAGCTAAAACTCACTCTGTAGACCAGCCTAGACTTGAACTCCTGATCTTCTGTCCCTGCCTCCCAAGTGCTGGGGTTACAGGCATCCGCTGTGCCTGGCAGGTGCAACTTTCTGCTCCTCCATCCTGAGGCCCGGCCCTCTGGGGACCTATCCTCCCTGCCTTGCCCAGACTTCACTCACCTTTGATGTCCATTTTCCAACAGGGGGGCCTCAGGCTCCTCATCCAGGAATCTGTGTGGGACGAAACTGTGCAGCGGATCCAGGCCAGGATGGGACGGCTACGGAGTGGACGAGGACTGGATGGGGCTGTGGACATGGGGGCCCGAGGGGCTACTGCCCAAGACTTGGCCCAGCACTATGTGCATGAGGCCCAGAGCCAAGGTGGACAGGTGAGTACCAGGCACAAGAAAGAGTCCTGGAGTTTGGGATCCAACTGCTAGGACAGAGTGAGGAGGGACAGGCCCTAGACCCCTGGATCTGAGGGAAGAGGCTTGGGTCTGGACCCCTGGGTCTGAGGGAGGAGGCTGGGGTCTGGAACCCTGGGTCTGAGGGAGGAGGCTGGGGTCTGGATCCCTGGGTCTGAGGGAGGGGGCTCGGGTCTGGACCCCTGGGTCTGAGGGAGGGGGCTGGGGTCTGGACCCCTGGGTCTGAGGGAGGAGGCTGGGGAGGACTCCTGGGTTTGAGGGAGGAGGGCTGGGGTCTGGACCCCTGGGTCTGAGGGAGGAGGCTGGGGTCTGGATCCCTGGGTCTGGTGGGGGAGAGCTGGGGTCTGGACCCTTGGGTCTGAGGGAGGAGGGTGGGGTCTGGACCCTTGGGTCTGAGAGAGGAGGGTGGGGTCTGGACCCCTGGGTCTGAGGGAGGAGGCTGGGGTCTAGATCCCTGGGTCTGAGGGAGGAAAGCTAGAGTAGCCATCTACATCCATTTCTCCTTTCTTAGGTGTTCCAGGCTGGCGATGTGCCCTCTGACAGCCCATTCTTTTCCCCAACCTTGGTCTTTGGCCTGCCCCCAGCTGCCCCATGTGCCCAGGCCGAGGTGAGGACCCTGGGATTGCAAAAAATTGCCCTGCCCCCTTTCCTCGGCCACTCATGGGCAGCAGCTCTCTCCCTTAGGATGCCCCTGGGTGACCTTGTGACCTGGGCTGTGCCGTGAACACCATGCCTGGTTCAGGAATGGGTGAAGCGTTGGCAAGAGGGCTTGTTCTCCAGCTGAGCCCCTGCCATCCCTTCTAGGTGCCCTGGCCTGTGGTCATGGCTTCTCCGTTCCGCACAGCCAAGGAGGCACTGGCCCTGGCCAACGGCATGCCCCGGGGAGGCAGTGCCAGCGTGTGGAGCGAAAGGCTGGGGCAGGCCCTGGAGCTGGGCTATGGGTCAGTTGGCACCCCCTCCCCCACCCTGGACCTCCCTCGTCTCTCTTAGTCTTGTTTCCCTCTCTTCTGACCCTCAGCCCCTCCCCCTTCTTCTCCACCTTCCCTGCAGGCTCCGGGTGGGCACCGTCTGGATCAATGCCCATGGCCTTCGAGACCCTGTAGTACCCACAGGTGGCTGCAAGGAGAGCGGGTCTTCCTGGCATGGGGGCCAAGATGTGAGTCCCCAGACCATCCCTGTATCGCCTGACATCCAGTCCCCTAAGCCACCTTGCACCCACCTGGCCTCATGACCACACCCCTCACAGGGTCTGTATGAGTACCTGCAGCCCTCAGGGACCCCTGCCCGGCTGCCCTTCCTTTGTGAGAGTCTCAACTATGACACCTTTGGTCTTGTCGTACCATCCACCGTGCCATCGGGGCCAGAGACAGGGCCCAGGTAAGCAGGCCTGGAGGTCTGAGGGTGGACTGGGGGGCTCGGTCAGGCTCCCCTGGTCAGGAGAACTGGAGAGAGGTGCTCAGAGTCAATTGTGGGGTCTCCAGGTCCTACCGGTGTAATGTCCTAGGTCTTGGGGTTCACATGCTCACCCCAGGACTGCAGAGAATCTCAGTTCTGCCTAGTGGGTTGTCTTTTCCCAGACACCAGAATCCAGGAGCCCCCAGAGGTTTGCAGGAGCAGGAGTTTGAGTGTCCCAGAGGATCATGGGAATAAGAGTTTGGGGTGACCCCAGAGCCTCATGGGAGCATAATTTGGAATTACCCCAGAGACTTCTGGGAGCAGGTATTTGAATTTTCCTATGAAACTCATGGAAATAGACAACTGAGACTCATGGAAACAGGAATTTGATCCTCCGGAGGATCATGGGAATAGAAGTTTGAATCCCTGAGGTTCATGGGAGCTGAGATAGCCCATCCTGTGTGGTGAGGCTAGAGGCTTGAGTGTTCCCAGGACCCCCTCACACCTAACTCTATGCAGCCCAGCACCCCCCTATGGGCTGTTCATTGGGGGCCGCTTCCAGCCTCCTGGGGGCCGTAGCTCCAGGCCCATCCAGGATTCTTCTGGCAACCTCCATTATGTGGCTGAAGGTGGGGTCAAGGACATCCGAGGTGCCGTGGAGGCCGCTCACCAGGCTGCTCCCGGGTAAGAGGATCACATGGAAGCCCAGGGTCAGGGTGACAGAGTAATCTGAGACACCCAGGGGTCAGTGGACTTGGGGATAGAGCCCTAAGCTTGGGGCTGTGAATGGAAGTGGGTGTCTGGGAAGAGCCAGGGCCAGGCTGTACCCCAACATGTTATTGTCTGCCCATAGCTGGGGGATGCAGTCCCCAAGAGCCCGGGCCAGCCTTCTGTGGGCCCTGGCAGCTGCCCTGCAGCGCAGAGACACAGCCCTGGCCTCCAGGCTAGAGAGGCATGGATCAGAGCCCAAGGCTGCCAAGGCTGAGGTGGAGGTGAGCGTGAGGCGACTCCAGATGTGGGGCACTCAGCTACAGGACCAAGGCCACACCCTGCAGGTAATATGACTCTGGACAGGTGGACAGGGTAGGCAGCTGGCCGAGAATCAGAGCCCAGACCAGGATGGGGTCCAGGCCCAACCCTAGAAATTCTGAAAAATATAGTTAACTTCTGGTGAGAGAAGACAGACCGTGGTTGTCTGAGGGCCCAGGGAGCTCAGATAGGGCAGGAGGGGAGGTACGTACACACTGTCTGAGCATCACAGATTATGCCCTTTTTTTGAGATAGGATCTCTCAGCATCCCCAGCTGGCCTGGAACTCCCTACCCTAGGTAGACCAGGCTGGCCTTAATCTCATGGAGATCTGCCTGCCTCTGCCTCCCAAGTGCCAGACCAAAAAAAAAAAAAAATCTATATAGTGTGGGAGCTTGTACACACACACACACACACACAAACACACACACACACACACACACACAAACACACACACACAAACAATTGGGCATGATGCTACAGGCTTATCATCCCATCTCACAAATTCAAGGTCAACTAGGCTGCATAGTGAAACCTTTTCATCAAAAGTATACAGCACTTGGGAGGCAGAGGCAGGCTGATCTCTGTGAGTTCAAGGCCAACCTGGTCTACATAGTTACAGGACGGCTGGGGCTACAGGGAGACCCTGTCTCAAAAAGCCCCTCAAAATTTTTTTGAATAATTATAAATTAAATTTTTTGTTTGAAAAAGTGATATGTAATTCTAGACTTTGCTCATTTCCTCACGTTAATTAATCTATTACTACTGCTTTAAAAAAGAAAAAAAGCATGGGCCTGGAGAGATGGCTCAGCAATTGAGTACATACTGCTCTTACAGAGGACCTGAGTTCAGTTCCTAGCACCCATATCAGACAGCTCACAGCTGTCTGTAAATCAAGCTCTGAGGGATCTGATGCCCTCTTCTGACCTCCTCAGACACCTGTACTCACACAAGCACATATCCCCTCCCAGACACAAATACACATAATTTAAAATAATGTCTTTTTAAAAAATTTATGTTTTTAAGCAGGGCGTGGTCGTGCACGGCTTTAATCCCAACACTGGGGGGGAGGAGCAGAGGCAGGCGGATCTCTGTACCTTCAAGGCCAGCCTGGTCCACATAGTGAGTTCCAGGACAGCTGGGGCTACAGGGAGACCCTGTCTCAAAAAGACCAAAAAAAAAAAAACTTTTTTTTTAATTTTTAAAAAAATTTTATTTTATGTGTATGCATGTATTGCCTGCATGTAGGCAAGTGCACCCCTGTCGTGCAGTGCCCACGGAGGTCAGAAAAAGGCATCAGATCCCCTGGAACTGGAGTTACAGGTGATTGTTATTTGGCATGTGGGTGCTGGGAACCAAACCCAGGTCCTCTGCAAGAGCAGCCACTGAACCATCAACCCCCCCATAAAATAAATCTTTAAACAAAAACAAAAAGACAGACATAGGAGTTGGGACATGGTTCAGTGGTCGAGCACTTGCCTGTCATGCTTAAAGCTCGCCATGGTATCACAGAACACACACAGCCCATCCTGATAGCCTAGGCAGCTGTTCTGTACACTGAGACAGGAGACTGGCAAGTTCAAGGCAGGACACAGAGGCCTAGAAAGGTTAAGTGCCTCATCCAGATTCACACAGCTGATGAGTGGCCATCAGGCTCCAGAGTTTTGTGCCCTGAACCAGCATCCCCTAGCCACACATTATTGGAGTTGTTATGCAGATATAAAGATGGCAAAGGAGGAACGGGCAGGTGTGGAGGAGGCTGTGGGAACCTGCCCCTGACATGCCACCTGTCCCTGTAGGTGGCAGGGCTGAGAGGCCCTGTGCTCCGGCTTCGAGAACCACTGGGGGTACTGGCTGTGGTGTGTCCAGATGAGTGGCCCCTGCTGGCCTTTGTGTCCCTGCTGGCCCCTGCCTTGGCACATGGCAACGCCGTGGTCTTGGTGCCCAGTGGGACCTGTCCTCTGCTGGCCTTGGAGATCTGCCAGGTAAAGTCACCAGCAGATGCAGGATGCCCCACATACCTCAGTTGGCCCCTTCCCTCCTGGGTAACCATGGTAACTCTAGTCCAGCATCCTATCCAGGTCCCATTTCTTCCAGGAGTCCCATGGCCATTCCCCAATGCCCATCCTCACCCTGCCTTCGCTGCTCCAACCCTGGGTGACCCGCTCTTTCACACTGTAGGATGTAGCTACCCTGTTTCCTGCTGGTCTGGTGAATGTGGTGACTGGAGATCAGGACCACCTGACCCGCTGCCTGGCCTTACACCAGGACATCCAGGCCCTGTGGTACTTCGGCTCTGCCCAGGTACTTAAGGGGCTAGCCTTTATCAACAGGCTTCTCTATGGGAGCATGGCCTTGCCAGAGAACTCCTGTTGCTAAGGGGAAGAAATTCCTTGGCAATAAGGTTCTGAGATCCTACCTGGGTAGAACCCCAGTTGCTAAGGAAGAGGATCGCCTTACCATAACAAGGGCCTAAAAGCCGCCCCCTCCCCTTAGAGACTTCCATCTTTTTCGAAAACCTGTTGCTAAGGACCTCACCCTAGCAACATTCTGGAGGCCCCAAGTCTACCACCTCTTAGTGGATGGGAAGTCCCTCTTGACAAGAACACCCTCAGTGTCTGGAATTGATGCTGGCCAGCAGCCGAGCATCCAGCCTGGTTAGGCCTTTAGGCCTCTTAATAGTCCTTGTTGCTAAGGAGGCACCTGCTTAACCACCAAACTGCTGGCAATGCTAACCCCACTCTTTCCCCACCCCAGGGCTCCCAGTTTGTGGAATGGGCCTCTGCAGGAAACCTCAAGCCTGTGTGGGTGAACAGGGGCTTCCCAAGGGCCTGGGATGAGGAGGCCGAGGGGGCAGGATCAGAGCTGAGCCTGCATGCAGCGCGAACCAAGGCCCTGTGGCTGCCAATGGGGGACTGACACCCAAGACCACCTGCTCCAGCTTGCTTGCCCACAGACACCAGATGCCTGGACCTTTGTCCTCAGACTCCCTGTGGCTTTCAATAAACCAAACAACCCTGACTGTGCTTGTGAGCAGCGGGAATAGTGGCTTCTGCTGTGCTGCCCAGTGGGCAACTCCAGAACAGCACTGTGAGATGGACAAAGGGGGCTCAACCCAGCCCAGTGTTCAGAGGGGTCATGAGGAGGTAGAGGGAAGTTCCTGGAAGGCTCTGTCCCCTTTGTGCTGGATTCCAGGGCCTCAGTGGTCCTCAGGGTCACTCCCTCCCTGATAATCCTCATGTTGCGCTGGGAGGTCCACGAGCCCGTCCCCCTTTGGTGCCTGGCTTAGCTAAGGCAGCCTCCATTCAGCGGGTCTGTAAGCACTGACTGCGTGCTGCAGGTGGGCACGAGCCAGCTGCGGACAAGGCAGAGCCTGGCTTCTTGGAGCCAAGCTGGCCAGGTGTTTACTCTTATGGGTGCTGTGCATCCCACAGACTTAAATTTGTTTTCCTTTCGGCCTTTGAGGCAAGGTCTTACTCTGTAGTCCTGTCTAATGGGTAATATCTGCTTCTGAGCATCCCAGTGCTTGGGTTACAAACATGCCACCAGGCCCCCGACTTCTTTCAGCTAACAGTGCCTTTTATTTTGAAAGGTCAGTGAGTAGCCCTGGCTGACCTGGAGCTTTTTAAAAAGAAATTTTTTAAAACTTTTTTTTAAAAGTGTGTATGTATGTGGGCACATGTGGAAGTCAGAAGACAGTTTTCAGGGCTTGGTTCTCTCCTTCCAATATATGGAATCAAACTCAGGTGGTCAGGTTGACCACAGCTACCATTACCAGCTGAGCCATCGCACTCGCCCCTGACCAGGAATTCTCTATGTAGCCCAGGTCGACCTCCAACTTTGGGTGGTCCTCCTGCTTCTGCCTCCTGAGTGTTGAGGTCACGTGCTCATGGGTTTGGGGTTGCAGGGTGACATCTTTGTGTCCATGGCTCTGCGCACCACAAGATAGAAGACGAGTGAACAGCTACACATGGTCCCTGACACTAACCCAAGCTGAGGGTACAGGCAGCAGGACAGGCTAGGCTTTGCTGCAGCAACACCCAAAGCCTATGTCTGGGCACCTGCTGTCAAAGGTGTCACTCCCTCCACTGCATGTCAGAGTTGCCTAGGTAAGGCTGATGGAGACTGTCTTTTTGAGCCAGGGTCTCCGTGTGGCCCCAGCTGGCCCGGAACTCACTATGTAGACCAGGCTGGCCTCGAACTCACAGAGATTGGCCAGCCTCTGCCTCCCAAGTGCCGGGATTAAAGGCATGCACCACTGCACTGGCTGGAAGCTGTGTTAATTTTTTTGGGGGGGGGGTCTTGTTTGGCGGTGGTGGTGTTTGATTTTTAAAAATTATTTAGTAGTTTTATTTTATGAGTATACTGCTTGCATATATCTAAGTGTGCCTGTGTCATGCAGTGCCCATGGAGGTCAGAAGCTATATGGCTTCAGATCCCCTAGAACTGGAGTGATGGACAGTTGTTAGGTGCCATGTGGATGCTGGGAATCAAACCCAGGTCTTCTGTAAGAGCAACCAGTACTCTTAACCACTGAGCCATCTCTTCAGCCTCTATTAAATTTTTCAAATAAATGTTCTGTACATTAAATATCAAGAAATAGTCACTATTCATTAAAGTCAGGCTATAATACTGAGGGAACCATGGATTCAATTACCAAGTCATGATACAGTAGTGACAGTTCTTTATGTGTGTGCGTTTTGCCTGCATGTATCTAAGTGCATCACATAACATGCAATGCCCACAGAAGCCAGAAGTGGGTGTCAGATCCCCCCGAACAGGAGTTATGGGTGGTTTTTAGCCGTCATGTGGGTGCTGGGAACTGAACTCAGATGCTTTCCAAGAGCAGCCACTCTTTACCACTGAGCCATCTCTCCAGCCCCTGCTTGTTTTGTTTTTGACACAGGATGCCATATATCCTAGGTTGTCCTAGAACTCCCTGGGAACTCATCCTCCCACCCACACCTGAGTGCCAGGGTGAGTTCCTAAGTGCCGGGATGACAGGTGTGAGCTCCTGAGTGCCAGGGTGACAGGGTAAGCTATCAGGCTCAGCTATGTCTCAGTCTGTTTTCTGGGCTGCAGCATATTACAGAGTGAGTCATTTACCAGGAATAAAGGTTTCAGCACATGGCTTTGAAATGGGGAAGGGCCGCATCTGGTCAGCATCTACGAGGCCACCTTGGCATGATAACAGCATGTAGCAAAACAGCTTTTTAGAGAGTTTACAACCAAGCCTCTCCTATAGCCTTGATTACACGTTTTCTTAAATTTGTATGTTTTTAATTATGTGTACGTGTGGGTATGTGTGCGTGAGGCCAGAAGAGGGTGTCAAATCCCCTGGAGCTGGAGTTACGGTCTGCCCAACATGGGTGCCGAGAACTGGACTGAGGTCCTCTGAGCAGTAAGCGCTTTTAACCGCTAAACGATCTCTCCAGCCCCATTTTTTTTTTTTTTTTTTTTTTTTTTTTTTTTTTTTTCCTAGAAGTCACTATGTAGACCAGGCTGGCCTCAATCCCGTCACTATGTAGACTAGGCTGGCCTTGAACTCACAGAGATCTGCCTGCTTCTGCCTCCCAAGTGCTGGGATTAAAGGTGTGCGCCACCATGCCTGGCGACTCAGCCCCATTTTTAAAATTTTTTGAAGAAGAGTTTTTCCAGGTATGGTGGTGTAGGTCTTTAATACCAGCACTTGGAGGCAGAGGCCGAGGAATCTCTGTGTTCAAGACCAGCCTGGTCTACATAGTGAGTTCCAGGCCAGGCAGAGCCTCACAGTGAGACCCTGTCTCAAACAGGAAAAGAAGGGAAGGAATCTGACTAGTCCAGGCTAACCTGGCAGGAACTATGTAGCCCAAGCTGCCCCAGAACTTATCATGACCCTCCTGCCTTAGCCTTCCAGTGCTGGCATTACAGGCGTGAGCCACCATACCTGCTCAATCCATCATCCCACTAAAGCTCCACATGGAAATATCACCAACATGTGAATGTGACAGTTAACTATCCAACACAGCAAACAATTGCACAACTCAGGGCCAGTTCCATCACAGATCCACACAACACGGACCCCCTTCCAGGACAGATCCAATCCCAAGTCTGTTGGGCTCCACCCAGAAGTGATCTTCAAATTCCACTTTAAAATCATTAGCCAAAGTAAGGCATCAAAATGAGTTTGAATTCCCAGGTGTGGGGCCTACAGTCCAGGTAAGGGAGGAGGAAGAGATTTGTGGGCTATCTACCTGAAGTAGATGAACCAAGCAAGAGAGAGTCATATGAGTTGGGGACATAGCTCAGCAGTGGAGTCCCTACCTAGAATCCCCCAGTGAGGAGCTGGGGTGTAGCTCAGCCGTAGAGCCCCTGCTTAGACTCCCCCAGTGAGGGGCTGGGGTGTGGCTCAGCGGTAGAGCCCCTGCTTAGACTCCCCCAGTGAGGGGCTGTGGTGTGGCTCAGTGGTAGAGCCCCTGCCTAGGATCCCCAGTGAAGGGGGCTGGGGTGTGTCTCAGTGGTGGAGCCCCTGCCTAGACTCCCCCAGTGAGGAGCTGGGGTGTGGCTCAGTGGTAGAGCCCCTGCCTAGGATCCCCAGTGAAGGGGGCTGGGGTGTGTCTCAGTGGTGGAGCCCCTGCCTAGACTCCCCCAGTGAGGAGCTGGGGGTGGGGTTCTGTGGTGGAGTGCTTGTTTACAAGAGGTCCCTTGAACTTTTGTCCTGTCGACTACCTCATGTCCAAATATGGGGTTGAGGACATGGAGACAGGACAAGAAGCTGACCCAGCTCTTACTGACAAAGCCAACACTGGAGTGACAGCCATCCGCTTGGGTGTAACAAGAAACCCCTAGGGTGGTGTGCAAGTCCTGGCCAAACAGCTTGGTGCTCTGAGAATAACAGCTCGACAAGCTCACTGTGGCCGGCAAGTCCCACAATCTGCCCAGCAGTGAGGACTGGGGCACAGTCAAGCCCATTGGAGCTAGGGATTAAGGACTGGTTGTTTGAGAGATGAGACCTCATGTGAACCAGGCTGGCTTCAGTCTTACCTCATAGCCCCTGAACCCTTGAGCCTCCAGCTGCTGCCTCCTAAGTCCTGCGGTTACAGATGTGTGCTGCCAAGCCTGGTTTCTGTGGTTCTGAGGATGGAGCCCATGGTTTCCTGCACGCTAGGCATTCACTCTACCACCTGAGCTGCAGCTCCAGCCCAACTTTAAGGATCTTGGGATGAGATCACCATGCATTATCTAGGTAGACCCTAGATCTAAGAACAAGCATCCTGGGCTGGAGAGATGGTTTGACGGTTAGAGCACCGGCTGCTCTCGCAGAGGACCCAGGTTCAGGTCCCAGCACCCACATGGTGGTTTACAACCATCCTTAACTCCAGTTCCAGGGGAATCCAACATCTTCTGATCCCCTTGGCCATTCCATGACACGGGCGCACCGGCATACAGGCAGTCAATACACTCATACACATAAAACACAAAATATTTTTTTAAAAAGAACAAGCTTTGTGTGACTCATGGGGAAGAAAACAGCAGAGGCCATGTGCAGAGGAAATGGGGGTGAGGGTGGGGAGGACAGATCAGAACGAGGGAGGTGGCCACAAAATGAGAATGCCAGGAGCCAGAAGGAGCCAGCAGGGTAAGAGTGTTCTCCCCTGAAGCCTGCAGAGGGAGCGTACTCCTAATGTCGACGCCATGTTGGACTTCCGGCCTCCAGACCTGATGGGGACTAATGTGTTGTCTCAAGCCACTAAACTTGTAATCTCTTGTTAAATCAGCCACAGGAAGCTAACACAGGAGCTATCCCAGATCACTGTGGCTAGAGAGAACAGGGCTGCAGAGGCCACCACTGCAGAGCTCCAGGGCTGTGGGCCCAGGCCAGGAGCTTGTGCCGGAGAGACTTGGGGCCCCAGGCCAGCCATCAGTGCTTGCATTTTTATGTATCATTGTTATTGTTTGGGCTTTTTGAGACAGGGTCTTATGTAGCCCAAACTGGACTGAAACTCTAATAGATGTAGCCCAGGATCGCCCTGAGCTCCTGATCTTTCTGTGTCTACCTACCAACTGCTGGGATGAGATAGACATCCATGCCTGACCCTTTGGTTTTGCTCTGTTCTGTTCATCTGAGCTCTGTACATCACGTTAGCCTCAAACTTTCAATCCTCCTGCCTTAGGCTCCCCAGTGCAGGGAAAACAGATGAGTACCACCGATTTGGCTTAAATATTTTAAAAATATTTTCAACCCATGGTTGGTTGAATCTGGTCATTCATAACCTGAGGCACTGAGGGTCGACAGTGTGGAATTCTGAACCCTTGTTCCTAGGGACCCATCACCTCTCTAGGATATGGATAAATAAATTCACCAGAAGAGAAAGTTTCACTATTGGAACTCCAATTGGGGCCCTTATGGGTCGGCAGGCCATCCCTGGGCCTTCCAGGAGGTGGGTGAATTGTCTCTGAAACACCAACCCTCGGCCCTACTCTTGACCTTTTTTTTGTTGTTATATTTTATTTGTGTGTGTGTGTGTGTGTGTGTGTGCGCGCGCGCGCACGCGCATGCACTTGCACATGCGTGTGTACCAGTGTACATACATGTGGAAGTCAAAGAAAAACTTATGGGAGTCAGTTCTCTACTTCTACCATGTGGGTCCCAGGACTCCAACTCGGCTTCAGCCTTGGTGACAAGCACCTTCATTCACTGAGTGTCTCAGCAGCCCTGCTTTGGTTTTCTGTGTGTTTTTTAAAAAATATTATTTAATTTTAATGTATTTACATGTGTATGTGTGCCTGCATATGTTTATATGCACTGTGTGTGTGCAGGTTCCTGCATAGCCAGAAGAGGGCATTGGATCCCCTGGAATGGGAATTACAGGCAATTCTGAGCTGCCTGATGTGGATGCTGAGATGTGAACCCAGCCATTCTGCAAGAGCAGTAAGCCATCTCCAGTCCCCTGCTTTTGTTTTCTAAGACAGGGTCTCAGGGCTGGAGAGATGGCTCATCAGTTAAGAGCACGAGCTGCTCTTGCAGAAGAACTGGGTTCGGTTCCCAGCACTCACATGACCGCTAACAACTGTCTGTAACTCCAGTTCCAGGTATCCAACACCCTCTTCTGACCTCCGCAAGCATCACAGGCAATACAAGGTGTGGTGGTGCACACCTTTAATCCCAGCACTTGGGAGGCAGAGGCAGGCAGATCACTGTGAGATAGAGGCCAGCGTGGTCTACATAGGGTGTTCTAGACTAGCAGAGGCTACAGGGAGACACTGACTCCAAAAGACCAAAATAATAATAATAACAATAATAATGAAAAAAAGACATGGTCTCATGTAGCTCAGGCTAGCTGCAAACTCATTATGTAGCCAAGGCTGACCTTAATTCCTGATCCTCCCGCCTCCACCTGCTGACCCTCTGCCTCTGCTGTACCATATCTTGCATTCTCAGTCTTTTGTGCACAACCAGCCCCTTCCTGAATCACCTCAGTGTGAACTCAGGTGTGGTCTGATAAACAGTGACGCTCCGCTTGGAAAATCCTGAGGATTTATCTCCAGGAACCAGAAACAAACCCAGACACACTGTGTGTTATACAACAGCAATGAATAAGGAAAAGGCCAGGACCTGTCCATCCATTCATTTAACAAACACCTGTGCAGCCGCCAGTGGGCGGGGGCCAGTGCTAGGTACAAGCTCTCAGAGCAGAGGAAAGAGCCTCGGAGGAGGCAGAGACACTGAGGAAAATAAGAAAACCAGAGGGTCTGTTGACCAGAGATAAGAACAAAGCCGAGTGAGTTGGCAGGCTACCAGGGCTGCAGTTTGGAAAAGGGTCTCACGCCTTGTGTATCTAAGTAAAGGTCTGCACGAGATGGGGGTCAGCAGGTATCAAGGAGGATGATCCAGGCTTTGGAACCAGCCCATGCAAAGGTCCTGAGGCAGGAGTAGCCCACCTCAGACACACCTCGGATGGCTGGTGTTGGAGGGCGACAGGGCTAGGGTTAGCAGGGAGGGGTTGGGGTAACACGGTCAAATCCTGCAGATCTATGTGGCCACCCCACAACTCCACTTTTTCAGGGGGCGAGGACTAGGGATTGAGTCTAGGGTCTTGAGAATGCTAAGCAAACACTTTGCCCCTGAGCTACACGCCAGCCAGTCACTGGAGGATCCTAGGCAGGGGCTCTACCGCTGAGCCGCACCCCAGCCCCTCACTGGGGGATCCTAGGCAGGGGATCTACCCTGAGCCGCACCCCAGCCCCTCACTGGGGGATCCTAGGCAGGGTCTCTACCGCTGAGTCGCACCCCAGTCTCTCACTGGGGGAGTCTAAGCGCGGGCTCTACCACTGAGCCATGTTCCAGGGCCCCTTTTTACTTTTTGAGACAGGGTCTTACTAAGTTGCCTAGGCTGGCCTTGAGCTCACTCTGTACCCATGACTGGCTTACAACTTTCAGTCCTCCTGCCTCAGGCCCCTTAGTAGCTGGGGGTCTGGAGTGAAGTGGGAACCCTGAGAGGGAGGGACTGAGGCCTCACAAGCCCGTGTGTCCCTGGCTGCAGAAGAACACTAGGACCGAGGCAGGGAACACAGAGGCCACTGTGATGTTCCAGGCTGGCGGTGGTACATCTGGGGTGACAGGAACTGGTCGGATTCTGGATGCACGTGGAGGCTGGCAGGCCTGGGTGCAGCCTGAGCTAGCCCAGCCTTACACTCACTGTCCAAGGCCGGCCACGTGTCCCCAGCAGGTGGCGCTCCACCGGGGCGCGAACTCGCCCCACGCCTGCTCCCCTAAAATTTCCTTTCGCTTTCGGTCTCTGGCTGTCACCCAGCTTGGTCTTTCCACACCCAGCTGGGGCAAGCCTGGTGCGTGAGAATGGCACTCCAGGTCCCCGAGGGGCGGGCCCGGGGTCCCCCACTCCCGGGCCGAGGGAGCGGGGTGCGAGGCCTGGGGAGGGTTCTGGGGACCGGACGTCGGGTTCTTAGAAGGGGAGATGACTTTCCACCGTCCCTGGGGCGCACGCAGGAAGCCTGGGGGAGTAGGAGGCGGAAACTCACCCCCATCACAGGCGGCGTGGCGAGGCCGGGCTCTGGGGCGCGCGGGGACCGGGCTGCGGGGTGCAGGTCCGAGGCCAGCTCTTCCGTCCCCTTCAAGACCCCGGCACAGGCATGAGGGGCCCCGGGCCGAGATGACAGTGCTGGCGCCAGCCTGGAGCCCAACTGTGCGTATGCCTGGGGGGTGCCCAGGGAGGAGGGGGAGCTGAGCAGAGGATGGAGACCTGGGGGGAGGGACCCGGGGCAAGGGCAGAGCAGAGAGGACGGGGCGGGGTGGGAGGGAGCACTGGGGATGAAGGGAGAGGAGAGAGGATGGGGCGAGCGGGAGGGAACACTGGGGATGAGGGCAGAGCAGAGAGGATGGGGTAGGGGCTGAGTGAGAGGATGGTGCAAGGTGGGAGGGAGCACTGGGGATAAGGGCAGAGCAGAGAGGATGGTGTGGGTGGGAGACCTGGGCCGGAGGCAGCTGGTCACACCAACCAAGGTGCAGGAGAGACAGAGACTGTGGGATATAGGATGACAGCCAGTCCCAGAGCAGGAGGAGGGCAGTGGAGCACGAGGAGCCCGAGCAGGTGGGGGGGGGTCAGGTATTGATGCTTCCTCCCTTCAGTCCTCCCTGCAGTCCTCTCTGGTGGTGCTGCTGCTGCTACTGCTGCTGCTGCTACTGAGCCCCGGCCTACAAGCGTCACCCTACGACTGCTACTTCGACTACAGTCCGGTGTCCTCCACCTTCAGTGGGCCCATCAGCGAGCTGGTGAGGCCACCTGTGCCGGCCAGAGTGCTGGGCCTCCTCCCTCTCTGGGCTTCTGTCTCCCTCTCCTCCCCCTCTGGGTCTCTGTCTCTCTTTCTCTCTCTCTCTGGGTCTCTGTTTTTCTCTAAGTTTCTGTACTTCTCTGGATCTCCATCTCTGGATCTCTGTCCCTCTCTATATATCTCTGTCTCTGTCTCTGTCTCTCTCTCTCTGGTTCTCTGTCCCTCTCTGTGTAGGTCCTTGTCTCCCTGTCCTTTCTCTGGATCACTGTCCCCTTGACTGTGGGTCTGTCTCCATCAACAACTCTCCATAGTTTAAAACGATATTTATTTATATTTTATTTATTTATTTATTTATTTATTTTATTTATTTGTATGAGTGTATTGTCTGCATGTGTGTAAGTGCACCTGTGTCGTGCAATGCCCACAGAGGTCAGAAGAGGATGTCAGATCCCCTGGAGCTGGAGTTATGGACGGTGGTGAGCTGCCAGTGGGTGCTGGGAATCGAACCCAGGTCCTCCAAGAGCAGCCAGTGCTCTAACCGCTGGGCTTTGCTCCAGCCCTGACTCCCCATAGCCTTGCTTCCTGCTTCCAGGCTTACCTTGCTCTCTCCCACAGACTGAGTACCTGATTAAGGACTACCCAGTCACTCTGGCCTCCAATCTTCAGGACGTGAGTCACGGGGAGGGCCCTGGGATGGAGGAGGGAGCCAGACCCAGCGCCCTACAGTTTCGAAGCCAGGGGCCACCTCCTCCTCCCTCCCTCAGAGCAGGCATCTACCTGGCTCCCTCCTTCTGGCATCGGTCCCGCCCTTGCCTCATCTGGCCCCGCCCTTCCCTCGCCCGTCTGGTCCCACCCCTCCTCCCTGTGAGCAGGTCTGGGCTCTTGGTTTGCAGGAGAAGCATTGCAAGGCCCTGTGGAGCCTGTTCCTGGCGCAGGGCTGGATGGAGCGACTGAAGACGGTGGCAGGGTCCAAAATGCAGAAGCTCCTGGAGAAGGTCAACACCGAGATCTACTTTGTCACCTCGTGTGCCTTCCAGGTTAGTGCTGAGCTGGATGACAAGTGGAAGCACCAGGTCTTGCACGCAGTCCTGCACACAACCCTGCACGTACAGCCCTGCACACACAGCCTTGCACACAGCCCTGCACACACAGCCCTGCACGCACAGCTCTGCTTGGTCTTGTGTGAGCTCTTGAGCCCTGGCACCTGGTGGAGGCAAAGCTGGAACCTCCGAGCCCTGGGGACCTGGGGACAGGGTCAGGCTGTTGCTAAGGGCTTCTCTCCCCTAATAACAGGAGTCCAGCCCCAGAAGGAGGTGTCAGTGGCCCACTATACTGTGGCTGGCAGGGTGGGGCCAGGGGTGGTGGGAACACTGGGTGACCTGGTGGTGACTGTGCCCCCTGCCCCAGCCCCTCCCCAGATGTCTTCGGCTCGTGCAGACCAACATCTCCCACCTCCTGCAGGACACCTTCACCCAGCTGTTGACGCTGCGGTCCTGCATCGGGAAGGACTGCAAGAACTTCTCCCGGTGCCTGGAGGTGCAGTGCCAGCCGGGTAACCACAGGCCTGGGCCAACACCCCCCACCTCACTCTGCAGCCCAGACTCATCCTGAATCCCAGCAATCCTCCTGCCTCAGCCTCCTGAGTGCTGGAATTAATTATGCCTGGTTTCATTCTTTTTTTAATGTTTTATTAACATATTATCATAATAATGTGTCTCATGACACTTTCATATGTATGTATTTTTTAATTGTTTTTGTCTTTTTGAGACAGGGTCTCCCTGAATATTTTATTTATTTTTATTTTATGTGTATGAATGTATTGTTTGCATGGATGTCAGTGCACTTCTGTCTTGCAATGCTTGGGGAAGACAGAAGAGGGGGTTGGATTCCCTGGAACTGGAGCTATGGGCGGTTGTTAGCTGCCATGGGTGCTGGGAACAGAACTGGGGTCCTCTGCAAGAGTAGCTGGTGCTCTAACCGCTGAGCCATCTTTCCAGTCCCCAGGTTCAATAATTTTATTTATTTTATTTATTTATTTATTTATTTATGGACCAGACCTATTTTATTTTTTATGTTTTGGATTTTTTTTTTTTTAGTGTTTTTGAGACAGGGTCTCCCTGTAGCCCCAGCTGGCCTGGAACTCACTATATGGACCAGGCTGGCCTGTAGCCCCAGCTGGCCTGGAACTCACTATATGGACCAGTCTGGCCTGGAACTCACAGAGGTCCGCCTGCCTCTGACTCCAAGGCGTTCGCCACCACGCCGGCTAGGTTCGATCATTTTTATCTCCAAGTTTTTGTTTTTGTCGGCCCCTATGCACCCCACATTTGCTCCTCCAGGACTTTCAATGTTTGCTCCTTCCTGATGAGCCCCGCCCCACCCTGCTCAGTTACCCAGACCCTTCTCTCTCCCCAGAGTCCTCTACCCTTCTGCCTCCAAGGAGTCCTGGAGCGCTGGGAGCCACGGAGCTGTCCCAGCCTCCGTCCCCTCAGCTCTTACTCCTGCTGTTGTTGCCGGTCGCCCTGGTGCTGCCGGCAGCTGCCTGGTGCCTTCTGTGGCGAAGGGCAAAGAAGAGGAGGAGGAGGAGGAGGAGGAGGAGGAGAAGGACGTCCCCCCCTGGAGAGCCGGTGAGTCAAGGCCAGTTGTGGGACTCAGTGGGTGGTAAGGGATGAGGGTGGGGGTAGCCTTGCCCAAACACTGTGCCTGACCTTTTGGGGGCCTCAGACGCCCCCTGCCTCCTGTCCCCAGGAAGTGATGCTTGTGCAGAGTTGACTCAGCCAGGGCCTCATCTAGGTGAGTCCTTCAGTCATACTGGACACACTGGAGCCTGGGATGACCAGGCTTGGGGGTTAGGGTCAGTCTGAGATAGAGGTTCTCACAGGAGGGGCCAGGAGGTACAGGGGAACCAGGGCATGTTGGGGGGT